TTTTAATCTCCTAATGTAATTTATGTATGTATTTAGTGGGTATCAATGCCACCTTTCCTTTCATAGAATGGCCAAGGCAGTTAACAAGCTCTCACTCAAAACCAGTTCAGGGAGATGGTTATGTGAATCAGAACCTAAGTCTCTTTGTTGCCTCAATCCTGAACTAACAGGATTCAGGTTCAGTTCGACTCCCTGCATAAAATATAGTACAGATTTAAAAGTAAAAACATTATTAAAGACAATTAAAACCCCAGGCATGGCTATCAGATTTTTTTTTCCAATGGCCTTTTGCAACATTTCCAAATGGTGCCAGGAAGGCTATAGTGATTGTGCCAATCACACTTCCCGAGGAAAAGCGTTCCATTGTTTACAACTGGCACCAAGAAGCTGTACTGAGGTACTTATGAACTAGCTGGGCCTGAAACATGTTCACTACCAACAATTCTTATCTTTCTTTTTTTTTAATCCCCCTACGGAGAGGTTTTTATTGGTTTTTTTGCAGACTACAAAACTACAACAGAAAATATAGGGAAGGGAACTACAACTAGGGGAAACAGAAGAGAAACCCATAACTAGCTAAAAACCAAGAGTAGGAGATCAATATCTCAGTTTATCATCATGCTATTTTCAAAAAAACAATCAATACTACAATGAATTTAGTCGGTTATGCTAGATTATTATTATTTAACCATCCCTTTAACTGTTTAAAGAGATCCCCAGAGCATCCCCAAGTTATTTCAACATTTTTTTCAGGCACACATCAGAGTCCTTCAGTCCTTATTTGTTCTTATCTTTTCTAATCCTCAGTTTATATAGGCCTTTGGGGGCAGCCACCCTTTTTCTGAAGGGGAGTCCTCGTCCGAAGTCCCCGAGCCCAACTTGCCATCAGATTTGCTTTCTTCTTCCTCCCCTTTGCCCTCCTCTGGTTCCACAAGCTGTGTTCGCAGAAATTCCCGTGCTTTGAAAACAGAGTCAATCTTTTCTTTTTTATTGTGGAGCTTGAAAACGACGTATTCTGGGATTACCCATATGTAACTGATAGAATTTGTTTGTAAGAAAAGGATTAATTCTTTATAGTTCTTTCTCCTCTGTCTTATATCAAATGGAATGTCTTTTAAAATCCTGATATTATTGTCCCCAATTTTCAAAGGTGTTCCCGAAGTTGCTTTCAAAATAGCATCTCTCACATTTCTCTTCGAGAATCTGACCACTATTTCCCCAGGCAGATTATTTTTCTTGATGTATGATGAATAAGATCTGTATACCACATCCATCTCGCTGCAAAGATACTCCGCTGTTAAATCTGTCATTGGGGCTATTGCTTTACTCAGCCGTTGCTTCAGATTATCTCCTCTAAATTCCGGGACCCCTTGGAACCGAAGGACCAAATTTGCTTTATCCATTTGTAACTGTAAGAGTTTTGTCTCTTCTGTAGCTTGCTTCATTTCCAGCTTTTGCATCTTTTTCTTAACTTTTTTAGTAGTGACATCCATTTCACCTTCTCTCCCATTTGCTCTGTTGTTTTTAAGGCTTGGGTCAGTTGCATCTGCTGCGCTGCGAGACTCTGCCCAATTACTGACAGTTGTTTAATGCCAGTGATCTCGTCCAGCAGGGGGCGCAGGGAGTCAGCTAAGAGTTTTGAGAGCTCAGTGACCTCATCCGTTGGAGGAGTAGCCCCTAGTTTTGATTTCAACAGCTTCTCTTTCTCCTGTTTCTTCCCTGCCATCTTTTTGGATTTGTTTACTTTTCAAAGAAGTTGCTAAAGTCTCTGATCTTCACCCAAACGCTTTTCTGCGCTCTGGTAAGTCTCTTAGAACAGTTTTAATAGCTTATTTTTCCACTCCCCCCTCTTTCCTTCCGTGTTTCGTCTATGCGTTTCCCCTGCTCGCTTTCCTGTCACTCTTTAGGTGGGACAGTTTCTTTTTATATCTTCATGCTCGCTTCAACCCGACTCACAGTTTGTTGTTGGCCATTCGGCCTTGCTCGTCATCATTTATTTCGCCCGATCTCCATGCTTGTTCTGGTCAGCAGCACTCGTACTATGCGGTCACTCAGCGGCAGGACCTTCAGGGCGGAGGGGCGCCTCAATTCTCTGGCTTTCGGCCATCGAAGAGGTCGCCCCTCAAAAGCCCCCTGGCTGGGAGCCTTTTACCAAGGCTCTTGGAGGGTTGTGACCCGTCGGACCCCCTCCCACACACTGGTGTGCAGTTTACATCCCCAGGACATCTGGGAGATGCATCTGCCTGCGTGTTGCCATAAACCGGAAGCTCAACAATTCTTATCTTTTTTTTAAAATAAAGTTTTATTGATATTTTAAGCACAAAACAATTCCAATAGAAAAGTCAGAATACAAGCGAAACAGGCCGTACCATTTACAACTTTCACTACAATAATAGTGCCCTATAGAACCGTGTATAGACTTCATAACGTTTGATTCAGTTAAATAGTAACATCTTGTATTTAACATTGCAAATTTCTTCCCAGTCGAACCCACCTATATTGAGTCTATCTAATAAAGGATACCAAGCATGCATTGGACTCATCAAGTCGCATTCCGTTTGAGTTTCTGTGTAAAACGTATTAAAATTCTTATCTTAATAAGCAAAATCCCAACACACAAGAACAACCAAAATAACACCAATAGAGTAGAAGTTTTTGTTTTCTCCAGATGCTGAATATAAAGAAGGGGGTGGAAATGGTGATGATTTAGTCTGAAACACCATTTCTCTCTGGCCCCCTTAAGCCCCCAGTCACAACGCAATTAAGCATTCTGGAGAACTAAAAAGTTTGCAACGTTTTGAATACTGCTGTTCTCAGTAAAAGGCTTTCATTTTAAACATAAGCCCTGCTGGATCAGACCAGTAGTCCATCTAGTCCAGCACCCTGTCTCACACAGTGGCCAACCAGTTCCTCTGGACAGCCAACAACAGGACATAGAGGCCAAGGCCTTACCCTAATGTTGCCTCCTGGCTCTGAGATTCAGAGGATTAGTGCCTCTGAATGCGGAGGTCCCCCTCAGTCACCATGGCTAAAAGCCATTGGTAGACATCCTCCATGAATCTATCTAATCCTTTTTAAAAGCTGTTTATTCCTGGGGCGATCACTATATCTACATACATCCTCTGGCAGTGGATTCCACATTTTAATCACTCTCTGTGTAAAGTAGTATTTCCTTTTGACCATCCTGAACCTACTGCCCATCAGCTTCATTGGATGCCCTTGAGTTCTAGTATTTTGGAGAGGGAGAAAATGTAGAGACCCTTGAAATTTTGTATTGGACCAATACAACTGTCTTCAACTCTGCCTTTAATAAGTATATAGAAGTGTGAAATAAGATGTTTTGTACTCATATGTCAACATTTACACATAGGTGCAAATAGAATTAACACCTACCCAGCTCCTTCACAGATTTAACTTCTAGAAACCTGAAGAATGGCAGCTCTTGCCACACACACCAATAATATTTAGAAAAGGCATCTCCTCCTCGAAACCAGGGGTGGTTTGGCCCTTCGCTTTACTAGGAGAAACCCTGGTGGGCCACTGCCCTGGAGGGCCATCTGTGCAGAGCCTGAGGGAAAGGGAATGAGGAGGAACAGGGCAGCACACGACTTTGCCCCACCCGCCAGGGAGCCGGGCAGTCTATGAGGAGTAGGGGTACTGCAGTGTCCAGCTTTCCCCTGTGCAGGCCCAGGCACAGTGCAGCTGGTGAGGAGGAACATATTGGCTGTGTTCCTTGGCTATTCTGCCCTCAGGGCAGCAGGGCAAAGCTTGAGCGTTGCACCCCAGCTGGAGAGCAGGGCATGTTGGTGGTGCCCAACTTTGCCCTGTGCCAGCCCTGGCAAGGAGGAGCAGTACTGTGCCTCCATCCACTCTTCTCTCCTCCATCAAGTGAGGGAGTCAGAAGACCCCCTACACCAAATCCCTCAAAAATCAAGGAGAGAGTGGCGTTACTTGAAACGAGAGAGGGAGGGTTGTTTTATTTGGCTTTCACCTCACATTAGGCTTAATGTAGAAGATTGCATTTGTACCATTTGCTTGATTCAAAAATATTGTCTCCACACAAATTTATTGCAGCTTCAGGCTGCTTCATTCCTAGGGTTGCCAGTCTCCAGTTGGCACCTGGAGATCTCCTGCTATTACAATTGATCTCCAGACAACCAAGATCAGTTTTCCTGGAGAAATTGGCTGCTTTGGAGGGTGGATCCTATGGCATTATACCCTTCTGAGGTCCCTCTACTCCCTAAACCCCACCCTCCTCAGGCTGCACCCCTAAAATCTCCAGGTATTCCAGAGCTGGCAACCGTATTCATTCCACTCCACCCCCATACATCATCTATTAGTCTTTCAGATGCTCCAAGACTGCTTTTCCTTTTTGCTGCAACGAATTATTCTGGCTACCCACGCTAGGACTTCACAAAAGACAATGGCAAAGCTAAATAAATTCTCATTACAAATAAGCCACGTTTTACAAAGGGAACTAAGACTTGAGATATTCCGCTGCTCTGAAGTGAGTGGATTTAACCAGATAATGTGGGCAGGGTTTAATTCTCAAGTGCCAATCAGGGGGCTTCTCCAACTCCAAACATGGAGACCGCTCCAGGGCCCGCTTGTGCGTTCATCTCAAAGACGATTGGTCCTTCCGCGGACTCTACTTTGCCACCAAGTCCTTCCTAAGATGGCGATCGCAGAGGCGCCATCGCAGAGGCCCCATGATCCCTTCCTAAGATGGCATTTAGTCAAGGTCCCTACCAGCAGCTATTTTGCCCGGAGCCAACCAACGTATTTGCCAGATTGCATAGCGACTGTTCCCCCCCCCCTTAAATCGGGGAGCAGATATACATAGGTTGACTAACACGGAGGAAGAGAGAAAATTACAGCGCTATTAGGACGATAGGTGTGGCGTGGTGGGGAAGTCTGTCTGATTCGTTGGTTTCTAGTCAGGCATCCCCGACCACGTCTCTGACGAGATAACCTGGGAGCCCGGCATGGGAAGGCCCCTCGTGACGTTCTACCGCCCGGCCTACACGGTGTTTGATTGCGGGAAGAGGGCGCGGGGCTGGATGGGGGCTACGGCCCGGCTGAGGAGTGGGTGAAAGGATCTGGCCGACTAAGGGAGGCTCCGCTTCGGCTCCGTGCTTGATGGTAGCGGCGGTAAGCTCTCTGCACGCCCCTCCGCTGTCACCATGTGCAGCCCTGGGCATTGGGGGTGGGGTGGGGGGTGGCCGGGCGTTTAACGCAACCAGCCCCGTTGGCTTCTCGGTGCTTGCTCTGCCGGGAATCAGCCGCCGGCTCGTTTGAGTGGTCGTTTCCTTCTCCTGCTTCTCTCTCAGAGTCTGTCTCCCCGGCCGACTTAGCTCGCTCTTGGGCAGAGAGAGAGAAGGACGACAATTGGAGGAACCGTCTGTGGGAAGATGTCTTCTGGGCTCAGGACAGCGAGTTTCCCCGCCTGGAAGCGCCACATCCTGGACGAGCTGAGGCGACGGGATCGGCTCCAGAGACAGGCCTTTGAAGAGATCATCTTGCAGTGTAAGCCACGCGTTTTGATCGCGTTTGAAAGCTCTTGAGTTTGGGTTGTGAGGGGCTGGCAAGTGACGCTATGAGCGATCTGAGAGATCAGAAATGGTGTTGTTGCGACGGTTTGGACAAAATACGTTCTGGCTGCTGTTGGTTCTTCTGTTTCTTGGACTGTGGTCCCTGGGTGGCTGTCATTCGAGGTTGTCTTCTGGGGTGTTCTGAATTACTGGCTTGGTTGCCATTGGTGTTTCCATCTGGGGCATTGGTCCTTGCAAGGTTAGAAGCTAAGAGCAAGGATTTCTGATTAATTTAGACCCCGTTCTAAAGGTTTTGCCTTGCAAGAGGGATGGATCGGGGGCGCATCAAACGGGCGCGATCACACCGCAACATCTGGGAAGTGGAGCACACCCGTCACCGATCCGTCCTTTCCAGGCGAAACCGCACATTAAAAAAAACCCTAGAAAAGAGTACTACCTACCTGAAGCTCCGCAGCAAGGGCGGCCGTGGGATCGCTGGCACGCCCGTCTTCCGCAGCATTCAAGGCTCCCGGCCAAACTGCGCATGCGCACACATGCACAGCCGGCTGCCTCGCTCTCCATTCCGTGGCTTCCCCCCCCCCCGCATCTGATCGTGCCGGGGAGCAACTGTGCGGTGGCTCAAGGGGTCTGTCTGATCCCGCCGCCGTGCGTCTATTTTGCTGCAGCTCAGAAAAGCCGTGCTTTGGCCATGCTTTTCCCCGTGTGACCGGGGCCAGAGTGCCTCTCTTCACTCTTCTTTTCTTAACTGGCATTTCCAGTACCTGATAGTATCTACATTTGGGTCCAGTGTATCTACTTTTGGGTCCAGGTGTGGTTTTCTGGTCTTTTGATGGACTCAAAATAAAATGTGGATTGATGTCTGTATGAACTGATTGTAGCTTTTTGTTTTCAAATTTCCTTTGTTAAATGTCTAGAGTACAAAATGTAAGAAAGATAATAATTTGAAACTGTTGTATTTTTCTGGGTGTGTTTGTTTACCCTAAACATTCTGTATGCACAACAGAAGAGACTTGTGGTTGATCTGCAATGGTTGCCTGATTGTGTTGTCCCTAAGAATTTCAGCGGAATAGAAGGAACTATTTAAGGGACATTGTTACCCTTTTGAGCCTGTGGGCACCTTTGGAATTAAGAGTTTTAAGGGGTTGGAGCACTTTTCTTATGAGGAAAGACTGAAGAGTTTGGGACTTGTTAATTTATAAAAGAGATGGTTGAGAGGGGGGGTATGATAGAGGTTTGTGCACAGAGTTGAGAGGATGAACAAAGACAACTTTTCTTCCCAAAATACTAGAATTTGGGGATATCCAGTGAAATTAATGATCAGTAGATTCAGAATAAACAAAGTGATATTGAACAAAAGGAAATACTACTTTACACAATGAGTGATTAAAATGTGTAATTCACTGCCAGAGGATGTAGTGACGACCTGATTCATGGAGGACTGGTCTGTCAGTGGTGACTAAAGGGAATCTCCACATTCAGGGGCAGTAAACCTTGGAATGCCAGTGCCAAGAGGCAACATCTGAGGACGATCTCAAACTGTATGTCCTGTTGTTGGCCTTCCATAGTAACTGGTTGGCCACTGTGTGAGACAGGATGCTGGACTAGATGGACCACTCCTCCATTTTATCCTCACAACAATCCTGTTAAAGTAGATTAGGCTGAAAGTGTGGTAGAGTGAGGATTCAAACTGGGATCTCCCAAATCCTAGTCCAACATTCTAACTATTATACTACGCTGGCTGTAAAATGGCTGCTGCAGGAGGTGAAGCCAACAACAAAATATTAGGGAGCAAGGCTGTACATAACTATAATAGGAACTCTTCAACATTAAGGTAGAAGCTCTGCTTTACAGGACAGCATTTTGAATGAACGTATTATTTAAATCAAAGTGGATAGCTGTGTTGGTCTAAAGAAGTAGAACAAAGTTTAAGTCCAGTGGTACCTTTAAGACTAACAAAGGCCCCGGTCACACGGAAGGTTTTGGCCCGGGAGAGGGACGGATTGGGGCACAGCAAACGGGCGCAAGCACACCGCAACATCTGGGAATCAGCATGCACCCGTCCCCGATCCGTCCCTTCAAGCCTAAAGCGCGCATCAAAAAAACCCCAACCCGCAAAAGAGCAGGACTTAACTGGAACGCCGCAGCAAGCACGGCCGTGGGACTGCCGGCGCGCTCATCTTCGGTAGCAATCCAGGCTCCTGGCCGAACTGCACAAGCGCACACATGCGCAGTTCGGCTGCCTCGTTCTTTCTTCAGTGGCTTCCCCCAGGCATTTGATCGTGCCGGGGAGGAACTGCGCGGCGGCTCAGGGGATCTGTGATCCCGCCGCCACGTGTCTCTTTTGGTGCGGCTTTCAAAATCCGCACTTTGCCCGCAGCAATTCCCCCCCCTCCCCGTGTGGCAGGGGCCAAAGTTTTATTCAAGGCATGAGCTATTGTGTGCATGCAAACTAGATGCCACTAGACTCAAACTTTGTTCTCATATTATTTAAAACTATTTTATTGCTTACACACAGCTTACTTTCCATTATGGGGGCAGCTGTTGCCAAAGCAATGTTTTTAAAACTCTGTACAGGCAATCAGATCTCCAGTGGCCGGTCAGAAGCCCTTTTGGTCAAAAGCCTCACCTGGATCATCCTACTTTTTAAAAGCATTTGGCAGGTCTCAGGAAAGATGTTGGCAGACACCGTGGTGCCCAGAGCCACCATGCTGGGAACTCTTGATGCATTTGCTCCCAGTACATGCTGCAGCAAAGATGGGCAGAAATATTACAGAAAAGATCTGTCTGTGTAGGGGATTCTCAGTCAACAGCATAATGGGATTTATCATTTTGCTTACAGTGTATTAAGACCAAAAAACCAAAATTCCTTAGAGAATGACTCTATTAAGAAGTGTGTATCTAAAACTTTCCGTCAAGTCTGTGTTTGTTCAGGAGAGAGAAGGGGGTTCCTTAGCTGTCTGAAACAATGCATTATAGAATCCTTATCTAGCCTGCCTGGCATGCAAAGGATTGCCTAACAAGAAAGGAGTGTACATAGCCTTCTAAAATGACGATGCAGCATCTAGCAATACTACCAGCAGGGCGGCAAGCTGTCCTTGGTGCCTTGATCTCCTTGGGTTCCCTGTGGAACAGAATGGGAAATTCTGCTTTGATGAATGGGAAGTGATGTTCCAGCATCCACACTACTCTTAATCTAATGTGCATAACGATAGTGAGGTATGGATTAGAATGAAATACCGTGAATAATACCTTTATACTACATAGATTTTTCACAGTGGAGCACCACTGTTAAAAATGAACTCATTACCAAATTGCTGCATAAGCAAGATATTAGCCTGATGAAGAAAGGAAGAAAAGATTTTTTAATATGTTGTCGAAGGCTTTCACGGCCGGAGTTCATTAGTTGCTGTAGATTTTCCGGGATGTGTGGCCGTGGTCTTGGCATTGTAGAACCTGACGTTTTGCCAGTAACTGTGACCGGCATCCTCAGAGGTATAAACACAGAAAGATGGAATACTCTCTGTGTCAAGGTGAGAAGAAAATGGCCTTCTTCTCACCTTGACACAGAGAGTATTTCATCTTTCTGTGTTTATACCTCTGAGGATGCCGGTCACAGTTACTGGCAAAACGTCAGGTTCTACGTACAATGTCAAGACCACGGCCACACATCCCAGAAAATCTACAGCAACTAAAAGATTTTTTGCTGCAAGCAAAGCCTGTCATTCTGGTAAGAATATCTTCTTGGTCATATCCGAAGCATCTAAGTCTGCCATGGCTCCTTCACTCATTTGAGCAAGGCCTTCTGCAGGTGCCACCCTGCAAATGAGCAAAATCAACAACTGCCCGTACACGTGTGTTCTCTATTGTGACTTTGTTACACAGTTATTGGCGTCGTATGGCAATGAAATGGTTCAGAAAGGGATAGGGATTGTAGAGTTTACTACTGTGTACTGTCTGCTGTGTGTATGCTCCTACTGTGTAATTTCTGTGTCATTTAATCTGCCACATTTGATACATATGTTTATTTTCAGCTCTGCTTCAGATTTCTGCAACCTAAACTCTATTGCATTGTTTATTGGATGTCCCACCCTGTTGATCGTATTGACTTGCACTGTGTAATCAGCCTGGGGTCTCAGTAAGAACGGCGGGCTATAAATAACATAAATAAGAATAGCAGAATGCATAAAGAGTATTGTTCTGTATTCTTACTTTGATACAGTTGTTTTATGATACAAAGGTTACAATAATTAATAACCTGTGTTCTTTGTTCAGGACTGTGATTTTTTTGTTTTGTTATTTTGGCTCTACTTTAATGGAAATTCTTTTTCCATTAGATAACAAATTGCTGGAGAAGTCAGATCTCCATACAGTGCTGGCTGACAAGCTACAAGCAGAAAAATATGACTTGCCAAGCCGGCATGAGATCAGGTATTTGCTGAAAATACTAGTAAAGATATAACAGAGTCAGTACATTATATGTATGTGGGAGAAGTAAGCAGCATCTGTAGTATTTCATGTGCAGTTCTGACCACTGCAGTACTCTTGTCTAAGTACAAAGTAACTGAAACTACTACTAATAACTGTCTTGATGTTTATAGCCTGATCCTGTGTAAGCTTTCAGTTCAGTTGGGCTTTTCCCCAAATAAATGTGCATCAGATTGAAGCCCTGCTCTTAACAGGAGATAAGATGGTGATACCATTTTTTGTTTAAAGTAGTTCAGTCTTGAGGTCCTTATATCTGCAGGAGCTGCAAGCCTTGATCTTAGAGATCAGTTAACCCATGACTGGAACATAACACCCAACATCTATAAAACCAGAGATGTACAGAGAGTGTTAGCTTCTAAGGAAGAGATTTTTAATATAGGTGAATACAGTGTTTCACTTACATGATCTTACTACCTTAAGAATTTACCTTGATTATTTTGAAATAGTGATCAGTGGTTTATGCTACAACTATGAATTAAAAATTAAATTTAAATGAAAAATGGGTTTCTGGGAGTTGTATTGGCACTTGAGGTATGTTTGGAAATGTATGCATTAGCGGGACCAAGCATTTCCTCTTCTTTTCTCTTCAAAAATTCCAGTCCAGGACATGATGGTACAAGGAATGATGTTCACTTGCAAGAAATAGCCCAGCTAAGAATTAAACATCAAGAGGAATTGACAGAGCTACACAAGAAACGTGGCGAGGTTTGGATTACTTTATCCACCAACATATTCTATTTCAAGAGTACTCTTTTGCAGTAGTGTCTGCTGTTTTGTTTTCTCACTAGCAGTCTTTAAGCAGCGACTGGACAAACACTTGCCAGGGATGCTCTAGGCTGATCCTGCATTGACCAGGAGCTTGGACTAGATGGCCTGTATGGATCCTTCCAACTCTATGATTCTATGGGATTCAGACTATCTCAAATTGAAATGGTTATGTGCATTTCATTGGGTAGTGAGTCATTACTCTTGCATCCTCAACCACACTTTGATCCTTGTGCAACAGTTCAAAATGCCATTCTGTTAGGTATAAAGAAATGTGTAGATTTGTTTTTTATTAGGATCCAGCTCTTCTGTTTTTAAAACCTTGTTTCTTGTGGTTGTCAGGATGCTGGAAGAGATGTAGTGATTTTTGCCTAATGTTGAGGTTTGTTTTCTGGTCACTGTTGAAATATCCCATAATCCTAGCTGGAAGAGATTAATATGCCACAGGCATCTAATTATCAAACATAAATAAGGGTGATTTTATTTTTGAAATATCTGAAGTGGGCTAGTATGCTGACAGTTGAATGGTTTACCATGAGATGAGAAATCCCTTTTTCTAAAAACATATAGGCTCTTACAAATGTCATGGTTGATTTTTGTGTTCTTTAATTGTTTGATTTAGTTAAGGAGGTGGGTTTTCTGTGTATATGCACATATCATATAAAAGTCTATATATGCTAACAATGTGACAGTGATTGTTGGTCATAAAGTACCTCTTAAAGCAATGTTTATTTTCTGCACTAAAGTAGTTTTTGTCTTTATAGTTGGCCCAATCTGTGATTGATCTGAACAACCAAATACAACAGAAGGACAGAGAAATGCAAATCAATGAAGCAAAGTGAGTAGAATCCTTTTCCCCCCCTGCCGTAATTTGTTCTAAATGCTAGAAACCAGCCTGTTGTCTTCTTGTTGGAATCTCATGTATCGATTCCTTCTCTTGAAGGATTGCAGAATATCTGCAAAAGATATCGGAGCTAGAAACAGAGTGCCAGGAACTGCGCAACATGCTGCAAGATCTTGAACGAGCCAATCAGACTCTTAAGGATGAGTATGATGCTCTGCAGATCACCTTCACAGCGCTAGAAGAGAAATTAAGAAAAACAACTGAAGATAACCAAGAACTGGTGACTCGTTGGATGGCAGAGAAGGCTCAGGAAGCTAATCGTCTCAATGCAGAAAATGAGAAAGACTCAAGGTGTGATAGCAACAGTGTGCTCTGAGTAAATCGTTTTGTTTTGAATATGAACGTGTGACCCTCTCTCAAGGCTAGAAGCCCCTTTCTTCCTTTGATTCTGTGTAAGAGATCATAGTTCAATAAGTTTTCGAAGTCTTATGTGGATGGGTAGTGATGAGGTTGATCATAGTATTTATTTATTTACAAAGTTTATATCCCACCTTTCTGCCACCAAAGATGCTAACAGATTAAAATGTACATAAAATAGTAAAATTTCAAAACCACCCCCGTACACAAAACCCCCCCATATCATTACAACAAAAACAGAGTAAAATACTTACAAGGACCAAAAAACAAAATATTGATCACGAAGGGGGAAACACTGAGGAGATGCCAAATGAAACAAAGAAGTCTTCAGTTGCTGGTGGAGGATGGCAACAGAAGGGAACAGGTGAGTCTCCCTGAAGAGAGGGTTCCAGAGTTTTGGTACCAGGACTGAGACAGCCCTCTCCTGAGTTGCCACTGCCTAATCTCAGAATGTGAGGGTACCTCAAGCAGGATCTCCGAAGATGACCGTAGTGGTCAGGTGGGTTCATAAGGGAGTAGGCAGTCTCATATCTAGTCTAGTATCCTGGTAGCTTTCTAATGACTAGGTGCATAATATTTTAAAAAATAGCATTTTACAGCAAAGTTGATCTGAATGGAGGTCAATTATGGCTGGTTCTCATAATGCATTGTGTGTCTGTAATAGGGTATCACTTTGCCGTGCCCAAGTGCTCAGATTAAAATGACTGCAAAAATTAGGACTGGGCTAAGTGCTACTGAGTACATTAACAACTCACCAGTTTCTAACTATGTGAAAGCTTTCCAGGGTAGGTCAGGAGTTCTTGTGTGGACAAGAAATGTATTATGTGTATCACCCCTTGAAATGTTTTCTATATCAGGGTCCCCAAAACAAACCTTACTGAAGCAGTGTCTGTCGATTAGTACTTCTGAGTGTTTGTGCTTAATTCAATATAGTCTTTCGAGTGTGTTTCTCTGGTTACCATATTACAGCACACTTGAAATTCACCTTCCAAGAGCTTGTCAGCAGACTGGCCGAGCTGATGTGGAATTTCCCAGCATTTTTGTTTCTGTCCTTGTAGAAGGCGACAGGCCAAACTTCAGAAAGAACTAGCGGAAGCTGCCAAGGAACCACTGCCAGTCGAACAGTAAGTATTCCCTCATCTATTCAGCTTTTTAAAATTTGTAGCAACTGTGATTAAAGGTACTTAATTTGGCCAGTTAGAAAGGACAGGCAAGTTGTTAAACTCATCATCTATGTAATCAGTGTTTGTTTTATCACAGAAAATAATTAGGGAGGTAAGAAGAGTTGCATTAGTTTAGTTAAGGAGTTGGAGTCACTGTGGCATATGAGCATTAGTGGACAGTCTTAGGGAACATTTATTATTTATTTATTTAATTTCTACCCCGCCCTCCCTGCCGAAGCAGACTCAGGGCGGCTGACAAAGGATACTAGACAATTAAAACAAATGTATCTAAAACCAGAAGAGAATACAACATAAAAATATACAAAGTGCTAGTGCTGAGTTAATTCATATATGAATTAATTCATATATGAATTAACGGGCATGAGCAGCATCCAACAATACAAACAATCAACAGCCAGCGTAATCTGGGTTATATCTGTCTGATTAAATGATGTTATCTTCCCTCAGAGGCTTCTGTTGAGAGGGGAAAGGTTCTGTTTCAGCCATATGATTTTCTCCCCCCTGAAATCTACACTTTCCTCAGACACACTTGGTGTCCAGCCAGTGCCTCTTGACTGTTCTACATGGTGATTTGTGAAACGGAGTTTCTTTTGTCTAGGGAAAATTAACAGACCACTGCTGGCCATAGCTGTGCTATGGCCAACTTGTTTATAAAAGGCTACAGGTAACGAACATTATCTCTGCACACTAATAAATATTTGCACATCACTTATTGAGGTTACCATATTGCAGAGTTTTGAGTTTGTTTTCCTTTCCTTTTCTGTTGTACAGGGAGCATCCAGTAATCACAGTTATTAAAAAGTAAAACCAAAAACTGAGCGACAGTCTTGGCTGAAGTTCCTAGGATTGGAGCTGGCTGGAAACAGAATAAAACAGGGTCCAGTGGCACCTTAAAGGCTAACATAATTTATTCCAGGATGACCTTTTGTGAATCAGAGCTCACTTTTTCAGATGCTAAAGGAGCTCAGAAATGAAAGTTCATGTTGGAGTAAATGTTGTTAGTCTTTAAGGTACACCAGACTTGTTTTATTTTGCTACAATAGACTAGCATGGCTTACTCCTTTAGAATTACCATGAAAGATGGAAAACATCCATTAAAAGATTCATTTGCTCAAAATGAACACATTTTACATTACTTGAATACGTATCCCACCTTTTCCAGACGTTGTAGGCATCTCCTGTTCATTGATTCATTCTGCAAAATACACAAAAAAACAAGTAATTTTTTTTTTTAAGTAGCATTGTAATCTTTCTTGTTAGAGCATCCTCTTTAGTGCCACTGTGATTATAGAGAGAACGGTGAATTTCTCTGCATGGGAAGACTTTTCCTGCTTTACTCTGTAGGAAGGAAATTTTTGATGAGGTTGTAAGTAGATGAGACAAAACATCTGAATTTCCTTTAAATGATTCAAAGGAAGGCATGATCTTGTTGTTCTTCAGGGATGATGATATTGAAGTGCTTGCAGATGAAACCTCAGATGCAGCTGAGGATACATCTCCAGTGCGTGCTGTCAGTCGGACAGCCAGGTAAGAAGGGAATAGAAAAGAATGAAAAAGTTCTTTTTTGGAGAGAGCCATAAAAGACTGACTAGGAGGGAGGAACCATGCCTATTGTTAATAGCACGACAATTTGAGCTCCCTGCTGCTGTGTCTTGAAATGGGAAATACATGAGAAATACATGGACGTTAGGTCTTCTTGTGCTGATATGCTAAAGAAGTCATTACTAAAGGGTGGCCAGAAAAGGAGATGAATTAAGCATGTCTCATACATAGGCGCCATTAAAATAAAATGGAGTTAGCTTGGCTGTTGCCTACATGCATTTGTTGAGCAGGAAAAGGTCCAGTGAATTATGCCTATGGTATTCAGAATGTTAGCAGAAAACTCAGGCTTTTGGTATGGGAGTTGCCTAACCATTTTCATTGTACTTTATTTCTGAACAAATTCTCTATGATTTTATTAGCCTTATTTCGGAGCTAACGGCCACCTGTCAGTCTCCCCCAGGTAACCAGAGAGCATGTGCTCCTTATCCAGGGCTAGAAAGAGTACTACAAGGCCAAGCATTCCAGTATAGTCAGTTCCATGGTGCTTTTCTAGTCCAGAAAAAGGCATGATGTGGAGCTGTCTCACTTCTGCCCTAGGCGCTGCTTCTTCTTCTAAAAGGACACCACACAAAACAACAGTCAAACTTCCTGTCACAGCATCAGAGCGCTGGGATAGACCCATCCTTCTCATTCTGGACAGGTCAAGAGTCTTGTGGTGGTGGCAACAATGGTGCTTGGGGGAGAATGAGACAGGCTTTCTTGGTATCTGTAAGAGTGGGCTGGTAGGAAAGGTTGAATGTGTGTGTGAATCCTGAGAATCGCAGTGAAGATGGGCTTGTTTTCTTTATGTACTGTTAAGAAATTAGTCTTTAGTTTTCGGTCTCATGTGGGTCCCTGTGAGGACTTGAATAGAAAGCACCAGTATGCGTCCAGCCTCCCTGCTGGGGTAATCATTCTGAGTGCCTAAAACTTCAGTTCACCCTAATAACTTGCTCAGCCCTTAATTTTATTCTCAAGATCTAGATGATTAAGGTGCTTCAATTCTTTTTTGCTATTATCCAGCTATTTACCGAATACAGTTACGTTGGCCTACATGAATGTTTTTATTTCTTCAGTCTCAACATGATTGGTCTTCTAAGCTGTCTTGTGGTGGTTGACTTTCCATGGTGAACTTGGGTCTTGATGAGGAGGAATGTTCTCCCCGATGTGTGTTGTGGGCTATATGTGTTTTGACTTCTGCTTGAACAATTAAGGTTTAAATCTGTCCTCCCCTCCTCTTTAGTAAGCGACTTTCCCAGCCAGCTGGAGGCCTTCTGGACTCTATCACTAATATCTTTGGGTAGGTTAGAATACATTCACCTCTTTTGTTACATAATTGGTTCAATATACACCACCATTTCAGTGATGCAAGGAATGCAAACACTTGTCCTTATATCAGCCTTTTTTCCAGCTTCTGCCTCTTCTTCTTGTTTTGTTTTTGTTTTGAACTTCCTGTTCCTTCTGCTGTTTGCTGACCTCTGACTTTTCCCTCCAGTCTGTCTGAGTCTCCCCTTTTGGGACATCACTCTTCTGATGCCGCCAGGTGAAAATTCACTTGAAATTATTCACGTTTACTCCAGCATGTGAGCGAGGGATGTTGAAATAACTGCCTTGTTTAACATATTAGTAGCCATGCAAATTGTTGTAAAAAATGCTTTGGCTAGATTATAGAGGGGTAGATTATAGCAAGTCTTATAGCTGACTTGCTGACCAAACTGTCTCTTCAGTGATTGTGACATGGTCAGTCATTGTAGTTTCCTCGTGCATCAAGAGGAAGATCCCCCTTGAGCCATGAGGAAAGGCAGGAAATAAATGTGCAAATTAATTAAATGTCTAGGAGTAGTAATGTAGTGTGAGCTTTTTAAATAGACAGTCCTGATAGTTTGTATCTTTGCAGCTCACTTGGATTCCTTTGTATGGTAGAAAAATAACCACTGTTCAAAGTAGCTTGGCACATTGGTTAGCCCAGATTCAGCTCATTTTAATTCAGGGCTCCACATGGCTGCTTTCAGGTTATCAAGTCCCCCACTCCAGCATCATTAACCTATCGGGGTATGTGGAAATTGGGTATAGCTGGTATAATCTGGCAGGCTCTTGTGAGTGCCAGTTGCAGAGATTATGGCAGCTGCATGGAGTCCCAGCTATGCAAAAATGTCTTTTTGGGTGTAACCACCCAGTTACCGTAAAACTCAAATGTAGACCTGAGTCTCTCCACCCCTTTCCTCCCATTCTTACCCTACTGTGTAGTCGGGATCATCCCCGCTCTGTCCCCCACCCACAATTGAGAAACAAAGTTTGTTCCTCCTTGTGCTTCTGTATTTATTGTGTGTGTCCTTTCCCAGGAGGCGCTCTCAGTCCTCAATTTCCGTCCCCCAAGATAATGTTGATAAACATCCGGGTGCAAGCAAAGATGTGCGAGTCCCTACTACTGCAGTGTGTGTTTTTGTAAGTATTTTTAAGAAATGTAATCTTTAGAAATAAAACCAGCTACTAAGTGGGATATGTCCTTATTGAAACTATATTTTTATATATGTTTAGAGCAATATTAAGTCAAATGATGTTATCTTAAGATTGTAATTATAAGAAAATGATATAATTGATGATGTAAAGTAATGTGGAGTGGGGGGGAAGCATTGCGGGAAGCCACTGGAGGGAGGGGAGGAAATGGGAATGGGGTAGACAATGGAAAGGATGAAATGGTTTATTTCTATATGTTGAATTCCTAAGAAAAATAAAAAAATTGTTTACCAAAAAAAAAAGAAACTATATTTTTATGTCATTGTAAGCACCTTAACTAGGAGCTGCGGTGGCTCAAGTGGTTAACATGCTGAACTGCAGGCTGTGGAAGGTCGGTAGTTCAGCAGTTCGAGACCCGGGTGCCGCATGACGGATTGAGCTCCCGTCTCTAGTTCCAGCTCTTGCCAACCTAGCAGTTCGAAAGCAAGAAATTGCAAGTAGATAAATAGGTACCACTTCGGTGGGAAGGTAACAGCGTTCCGTGAGCCTGGGTGTTTAGTCAAGCCGGCCACATGACCACGGAAACGTCTTTGGACAGTGCTGGCTCTTCGGCTTTGAAACAGAGATGAGCACCGCAACCCTAGAGTCGGATTCGACTGGCTTTCGAGCAAGGGAACCTTTACCTTTTCTTTAAGCACCTTAACTAATACAGGTTTTAGCTCAAAAAACAAGTCAGAGACTCAGGTTAGCTGTGAGATGTCTTGAGGTCAGTGATGACAAGAAAAAATACTGATTGCACTACTGAATTGCACACCCGTTGCTTTCTCAGCTCCCAGCAGTGTGATTCTTTTTCTCTTCTCTCATGATCCAGTAATATTATGAGATATTTTGAAGCTGCTGATATTACATGGATGAAGTTGGTACATGTTACCCACAGTATTGGGGGCTTTGCATCAGCTGTCATCCAACAAAAGCCAGTCCAGGAGCTGTCAGTTTCGGGTTGTCTTAATGTGCATGATCTGAAGTTTTCAAGCTGAGACCTCCTGATATTAATTTCATTATGAATGGTGGCAGAAGGAATTCCATTTTGTCTCAACATCAATGTTCTACATTAAAACACAATTAACTTTATATTTAATTGCTTTTATCAGAAAATTCTCATAAAATAGTTTGGAAAGAATATGTGTGTGTAACCCTAACCCATTAAATGATAAAACTGATTTATTAACAAGAAAAAGTAAAATACACAGCACACAGTAAATTACGTAACTTGGGTGTTTACTCTCTTAAACAATGTATGGTGTTTTAATCATTGACAGAACTACTAAGAAAAAAACATTTTAAGTAACACATTAAGAAAGAAACATGTCCTGCTTTTGATGCTATGGCAACCTCACCCTCTTTGCTCCTTCACACGCAGGATTTCCCCTCCGTTTTTTCCTCGTGTCTGGCTGAGCAGCCCCTCTATATCTATTTTCTTCTTATTTGAAGGTTTATGGCTGACCCATCCTGTCATGTTATTATATTTTGATGCTGGCTCAGCCCAGAAACTTTAGGGAAGAGAAAATAACACCTTCTTAACTTCTAAAAATGGCACATGAGAGGCTTTTGAAAGTTCAAAAATAAATATTTGAATTTATTCAGTGTAGATGGGAAAACAACAGGTGAAATCAGGGATAAAATGTCTGAGGTGAATCAATAATAACTCTGAAATTACTATTTCACAAACTCCAGATAATATGTTTCCAGCAAGAAAGAGTTTTAAGCTTTTCACAATGTCTTAGAATCTTTGAGGTGAGAGGCTTTGGTTTCAGTGTGTGCTAGGCACTCCAGTATAAGTTCTTGAGTTTAACTGACTCTTCAGGTTTCAGAAGGTAGGGATACACTACCAGGTACCCAATATCCTTCTCTAAACAAACCAGGGATCACTCCACTCTTTAGAGCCATCTCCCTTTTCAACTGGGCAGGGAATCACTTCTCTAAGCTAGAAGCTCTGTCCCTTTTTCTCGCCTGAATGGGGGTCTTCAACGATCCTCCCACTCCTTCTTGCCAATCTTCCCAGCCCTGTCAATGCTAAACTGAATTCTCTTCAGCAGTCAGTTCCCAGCTGTTTCTTCTCAACTGACGCTGTCCAATGAAATCCACTCGAGCAGCCTGTCACTCAAAGGCTCTCTGGCTTTGTAAGGCATTAACCCTTCACAGTCCGTTACATGTTTATACAGCATTTATGAGCTTTTAAAGCACAGTCCATCATAGATGCTTTATTGTTTTATAGTCAATAAATAAGCCACGGGTGGTGATGGTGGTGGTATCTGTCTCCAGTGTCATGCATGACTCAGATTAACCATGTTAGGCAACAGCCTGTTTTACTTAGCCACTGTGTAGATCCTTATCAGTAGTACTCTAATACTTTGCAGTGATTTGTTAGCCTGGTAATAATTTAATATAGCACTAGCCTAATATGTTTTTGATGTTGTCTTACGTAACCTTTATTGAACAGTGACAAATTTTGATACTGCATTCCAAAGTGTTTTCAAATCTTTTAATCACTCTGGTAACCTTTATGCCAGAATGTGACTATATTGTGCTACAAATTCATTTTGTACATTGATCCCCCCCCCCAGGATGTACGAATTCTTAGTTCTAACTAATCACCCTTTAAAAAAAATCTGCCAAATAAATTGCATATAATAGAAGAAGAAGAAACGAAGAGATTGGATTTATACCCAGCTCTTCACTACCCAAAGGTGTCTCAGAGTGGCTTACAAACTCCTTTCCCTTCCCCTCCCCACAACAGACACCCTGTGAGGTAGGTGGGGCTGAGAGAGCTCTGACAGAAACGGCTCTTTTTCAAGAACAGCTCTTATCAGAGTTACGGCTTGTCATCCAGCCAGGTGCAAGTGGAGGAGTGGGGAATCAAACCCGGTTCTCCCAGATTAGAGTCCGCGCACTTAACCACTTCACCAAAATGACTACTACTCCTTTTAAAATGGCTGGGGGGAGTGTTCATAATTATTAATTTGCCCTTGCCTTATTAAAAAGAAAACCTCTTCGGCATGTTAAAACCCTCAGTGTATGAAAGTGTCATTTATATCCTCTCTGCCAAGTTATTACCTGTTTTGTGTTCTGGTATTTGGAATCAAACAACAAAAGAATAGCTGAAAACTAAGTTCTCCAGTGGTGGGAGAGAGGGTGTCCTGAAAGATAGGTTACTTCTCCCAGTGGCTCCATTAGGCATGGCTTATAAAACTAGGCAGGAAGCCCCTTGCAGTTATCCCTTGCAGTGGGGGGAAGCCCCTTGCAATCATCATCCTTACCTGCTTCTCAGCGCATGGATGTGCTAGCTTCTGCTATTTTTTGCTTATCAAGCTACACAGTTCTATAGGTTTTAGAGCCTTCTACTTCTTCCCCCTACTGCAGAGTAGATATGAAGGAAGTGGGTGTCAAAGGCCAGACTTTTGATTATTTCAGAAAGCTCCTCCAGATGCAAGTATAGAGGGATTGCTGAGATGTGTCCCTTAGCATCTCCTGTGGCCCTGGAAAGAAAGGACCTTCATGAGTTCTGGTCAGAGGTGCATTAAACAGCCCCATGCAAAGCCTCATCCAGTGTTCATACTAGTACCCCAGCTATCTACCAAGCCAACACTGAGGTCGTAGGCCTTTCAGGCTAAAGCACTGGGCCACTCTTTCAGTAAGAGAAACACCACCAATCCAACCTGAGCAGCATATGGTAGGAGAAAGCCCTCAGGGAGCAAGTTATTTGAGGGGGAGGTTTAGTTCGTTGCTTTTAAATTGTAGTGTTTTAGATTCTAATTTGTAAGTTGCCATGAGGAAAGGATATAAATATTTAAATATGCGCTTTTATTTTTACTTGCAATCGCAAAGGAAAAGAATAGTGGAAAACTGAATTTATGTAGGCTGCTGATCAGCTAACAAAGCAGATTTATCTTCCCTAGTATCATCTGCAATTGTTGTATATGTCTCAATTCTTCTCCCCCCCCCCCCCCCCCCCCGCTCACGATGGGGAAGTGAACGCAGTCCAGTTTAGCCCTGGCTCTCGGTTACTGGCAACAGGTGGCTTGGACCGGAGGGTAAAACTCTGGGAAGTCTTTGGAGGTAAGCTGCTATGAGAGGAAGCATGCCATGAGAAATCATCTCAGTGGGCACATTGCCAGTTTCTTCCCATTGTATCTGTGGAAGAGAGCTCTGACTCATAAAAGCTCCTACTGGAATAGATGTTGTTGGTCTTTACGCTGCCACTGGACTTCCTGTTTTGGTTTGCTACAACAGATAAACATGGCCACCCCATTGAAATTACATGGGTCAGTAAACCAGTCAAATTCTCTACAGAGCTAAGACTGTCCCTGTATAGGTGGTGGTTTATCCTGTTAGTTTTCGTTATGGTGTCATCTGCTGCGAGGGATAGAGAACAGTTTGCCCCCTAACCCTACAGCTGCACAGCAATGTTTCTCTCTCTGTCTAACTTCTACACGTGCGGGCATGTCCAAACAGGAAGCATTGGTCTGCTGTCTACTCAGTACACAAAACCCAAACAAGGACCCACGGTAAGTAGGAAAACCAACATACAACAGATACCGTGCACAGATGAATTATAACCTATCATAAATAATTTTATATATTTAGAAAAATATTATTACAATAATTTCTTCATACATATTAATAATCATAGTCACAATTCATAATATAAGAGAACAAAATGTCAAATATCATCTCCATAGATTCTCAAAAGATATAGTACAACCTTATAATATATACTAGTCCTCCTCTGTAAAAAAGTTTCAAAAGGGAGGACTCCTTAAATTCTCTTTACATGTGCTCTGTCTTCCTCCAACAGAGGTCCAGATGTCCTTCTGTTTCAGAATCTTCCTCAGGGAGTCCAACAATAATTTTCTACTCAGTACAACTGCACTGACTTTTACGAACTTAATAGTTTCTGTTACTGGGTTTTTTTATTTGTGCTTAACCATTTAAAGAAATTGAACTTCTAGACTAGCTCTGGTGTCCCAAAGAGAATTATTATTTAGTACATTTTTCACATTTATATTTCTCTTACCCAACATTGTTACAAGTTGTAATCATTGCAATTTTCATAAGTTTATTACATTGTTTCATAATACTGTAACATCTATGTGCACCCAGTTGGCCTGGATGTATGGGCTGGGTTGTCATCAATATACTGATGATACCCAGCTCTATCTATTGATGGATGGATTCCGCTCTGGAGGTATTGAACAGGGCATTACAGGCCATGACTGGATGGTTTCAACAGAGTTGACTGAAATGGAATCCAGTGAAAACGGAGATCCTTAAATTCTACTTAGAGAGTCAGTTGGCTTTTTAGCCATTAGAGTGGCCAGGTCTGTAAATCAAAAAGAGTGTTCTCTTTGGGTTGACTTGATAGTTGGCCTTTTCTGCAGCTATAGCACAGAAGCAAGAAATGTTGAGCCTGCTAAAGTCTACTGCTTCATACTTTCCTGCTACTGAAGAGAATAGAAATTACAATTGTTGCATACTATTGATTGTGGCTTCAATCAATTCTGTCTTGCACATTTTCCTTTAAGCAGATTGAATGAAAGAAGACAAAGGAGTCTGAACTGTTCCTGACTGACAGTTCTTGTTTCTTTTTACAGACAAGTGTGAATATAAAGGTTCCCTGTCTGGCAGTAATGCGGGTATTACAAGCATAGAGTTTGATAGTGCTGTAAGTATACGTGTGGCTATTTTGACTACTGTTTTCTACCCCATCCACATTGCTAAAGGTTGCACAGAATGTTTCTGGGGAATGGCAGCATTACCTAGAAATAATGTTGTACCAGGAAGCTCTTTTGGTAAAGCACTCCTCTGTGTTTTACTTTACAGAGGATCCCTGAATTGGTTAGACTTTCTCTGTGTATCTTATTGAAGCACAGTAAGTTTTAGCTAGGGTTACTGCATAGTAAGTCTGAGGACGTGGCAAAAGCTTCCACTTTTTACAGCGTAATGTTTTTCCGAGGTCAATGATGAACAGTAAAAGGTCTGATTGCCCAGCGGTTTTGCCTACTTTACCCTCACAACTCCCAGCATTTTCTCTCCCATCATGCTCTAGAAATGCTGTGATGGGATCACCATTTGCTGATAAGTAGTGATAGATTCAGCTTGTGTTACCCTAGAGTCTTGGGTAAACACTGCTGGAATTGCTGTCCAACATAACTAGATACAGGAGTTTGAGGCATTGGCTCTGTACCTGGGTATCTGATCTGAAATTTTTAGCTGAGACCTCGTCTGAACCAAAGAGAGAGGGAAATAAAATGCTTCATTCTCTGACACTTGTGCCAATTGGAAACCGTTGTGTTTCTCCATATTCTGCCCTAACAGTAGCCTGCTGTCCAGAGTGTGCACAGTAGGATAATTTATTTAGGGTATTTCTGCGCTGCCTCTTCAGAGTCCTGCACAAGAAAGCTTACAGTTAAAATAATATAAAAACAAGGTGTTGGACATAGTATAAAAACTATCCATAAAACAAAAGCAGATATTTGATAGCTGGTAAGAGGGAATCTCTAAAAGATGTGTTTTGGCCTGGCATCTAAGAGAAAGTAAAGTAGGTGCCAGGTGAGCATCAAGGAGGTGAGGTGCCACCATAGAAAATGTCCTGTTTCTTATCACTACCTGCCTCACTTCTGAAAAATAAGAGAGAAAAGAATTGGAGCAGAGAGATTGGGAAGACCTAACCCTAAGGAATAAGAGGTCATCCAGAAAGTAGCAAGGAGCAAGTATATATAATTAATGTTAAGGATTGATAACACTCACTCAAAGCTTCAAAAGAGAATATGGGAGCAGGAGAAGATTACAGCAGTCATGGCCAGAAATGACCATGCCAAAGGAAGAGACTGCAAATATGCAGAAGGGAGACCAAGAAATACTAGTGGCAGGACTTGGCAAGGTTCTGAGGCAGAGAAGGGTTTGAATGCATGAAAAACAATATGTGTTAGGCATAGAGGACAGGGCAGATTGTTGTTCCAGAAAATAATTTTTCTTTTTTAATCCTATTTGTTTTCTCAGGGTTCTTACCTATTAGCATCTTCGAATGACTTTGCCAGTAGGATCTGGACTGTAGATGATAATCGGTTACGGGTGAGTGCCTTTGCTGAAGCATAGCTTCAGTAGCTAATTTTACCTAGATGTGTAAATGTAAAAAAGTTAAAAACTTGCATGTAGGCACATTCCATGTTGATCTGTTTCATTCTTTGAGCTGTCATTCTTCTGCCATGGCTCAGTGTGGTGAATAACACATGCTTTCTGTGCAGAAGGTTTCAGGTTCAACCTCTGGCCACTTAAGGAGGGTCTTGGGTAACAACACTGGGAAAGGCCTCTGCCTAAGACTTTGGAGAGTTGCCAGTTGGAATGACCAGAGGGCTGCTGGCTTGGTCCAGTATTCTGGCTTTGTAAATATTTGTGTGAACTTGAGAAGGAAATTCTGAGAAGGTAACTGCTTTGTAAATTCAGACAAAATTTATCTGGCTTAGTATTTAGTCCCCAGCAGTATTTGACCAGTTGATCTAGGAAGCTCACAAATGGAGTCTGGTGGTGTTAGCCATCATCTGTGGTTTCCCCTCGCTATCAGTAATTAAAAGTGGACAGCATCAGTTAAATAGAAACTGCATAGTCCATTGCTTTTCATAGATCTATCCTCCATGAATATCTACACCTTGCCCATGTAAGAGGTATTGATGTGGCATTCATACAGGTACTGAGGGTGCTTGTGTTAGGTACTACTAGACCAAGCATCCAGACTACTAGACCAAGCATCCATTTTTATACTTAATTATATAGCTGGACTGAAGTGTAGGCAGAGTAGCTCTGTTCCTTATAGAGCACTGAAGGCTAGGAAGAGTAAGTGTAGCAAATATTCTTCACTATGTTGTGTCAATTTCTTTCTAGCACACTCTCACAGGGCACAGTGGAAAAGTCTTGTCAGCCAAATTTCTGCTGGACAATGCACGCATTGTGTCGGGGAGCCACGACAGAACCCTCAAGCTGTGGGACCTACGCAGCAAAGTCTGTAAGGCAAATGTTTCACATACAAACATAGTCTGCTTTTTAGTATGTTCCCTGAATGTAATGGAGAAGAGAAGGCCAGAATTGCTTCTGCCTGCCAGGCTGTCTGAATATTCAGAACTGCTACTGATCACTCTTCTGCTAAAAGCCTAATGTTCACATGGGACCCAAGCAGCCTTGTCCCTTGTGTGTCCCAAGTATATTTGATAACGGGTGGAGCCCAAAGTAGTGCAGTTGTTGCAGCCCAGTTATGAAATAGGTCTGGGCTTCTAACATTGGTTGCCATTGGAGTGCCTTTGTACAGTGGCAAGAGGGAAATGACCAGTGTATCTACATGAATGGTTAGGTACTGGTGCCTTTTAAAAGAAGACCCACATGCTGGGTATTTTTGTTGGCATTACTGATCTGACTGCTGATTGTCTTAACATAAAATAAACATCACTAAAGATCCTTATCACTTCTGTCATCTTTCAAGCTGTTGGTTGCAATTGCCAGTGTTGCATAGTGGTTAGAGTGCTGGATCTGGGGAGACCCAACAGTGCAGAGGTAGCTAATGAACATAGGGATGAAGTGGTGTACATAGTTCACTGCAGTCAGTGTTTGCTTGGCCCCCAGACGGATTAGTTGCAGACATCTTTAGTGGTCTGTAGCTTCAAAAGTGTGGAGCATGCATTAGCTGGGAAAGTTTCCAAGTCAGGTAACGAACTGGGATTAGCTACTGCCTTAAGTACTGGACCAAAATCTTTCTAGGGAGCAGGAAGAAGACAAGGTCAAGCAGTTCCTTTGCAGCTTTGTCCTGAAGGAGGATCCATACAGCCGAAAATGGACTAACTATGCATGCGGTCTTTAAGCAAACTTACGCCCTTCTCTGCTGTCAGTGGTGGAAGGTATCTTTGCATGGGTTATGCCTCCCACTTGTTCTGCAGGGCATGTGCAAATTAATTAGCAAGGGTTCCACAGCAGCCTGGAGGCAGACCTCCAGTCCACACCCTTCCTGCTCTGCAGCAGGAAGAGCTTCCACAGTTCCTTTTTTCTATTAGGCTTCAAAAGAATACTAAAAGGATTCAGCAGCTCATCTCTTGGTTTATGCCCAGTCTTCAACTAGATGCAAGCAGGAAGGAAAAGAATATCTCACCACTGCTGCTCTCCTGCCAAAGTTCTGTCAGGGATGGTGAGTGTGTAGCCAGCCCTCCTCCACCCTGAGGCCTCGGTGACAATCAGGCCCAAGAAGAGAACATCAAAACAACAGCAGCAACCTTGCCTCTCTCCCCCACCAAGGTCCTTGCCGGGATGGTGAGCATGTCGCCAATCCCCCTCCCCCCAAAGCCTCAGTGGTGGTCGGGCCTGATGAAAGTACTTTGAAGGAGTGGCCCCAGTTGGGCTTTGCATCCAAGCCTGTCCATGCTGGCTCCCCAGGCTATGAGAACAGCAGTCAGCATTAATGGCCCTTCGCAATGCCACTAACACCATCCCACACACACACACAAACTGTGCTGAAGCTTCAGCAACTAAGGGGAGTGCACAGAAGTTCCTCTTGTGGCCCAACATCTTGGTGTTGGCAAGCGCCTGTCAAGAGGGCTCAGCATGTACTAGGGGCTATTTAGGGGCACTTGGGAGCTTTGATCCTCCCATCCTCCTCAGCTGTTCTAGGGATCCCATCTGACTCCCACGGCTTAGCAGTACACAGGAATGCACACAGCAGGTGCCATCTAAGCGAGTATTCATCTGGATGAGGCATCACCGGGTTGCACCTACTGACCCTCCTCACTGTTATCCCTCCCATCATTAGAGGGAGCCTCTCTTACCCTGATATCTGTTCCTGGGTTTGCATAAGACGATGAAACTTGTTTAGGAGGAGCCCAAACAAAAAAGAAAATGATGGAGGAGGAAAGATGGGGACTCTTCCCCTGTTCTTCCTTTCCTCTGCCCCTTCCAGACAGCACAGTTCAGGGGTCAGGAGGCACTGATAGTTCCGTCAGTACTCCTTTGGAGGCTCAGGCTCCAGTTCCCTAGATCCTAAGCATCATCTACATGCAAAGTCTTTGGGGGTCTTTTTCTCAACGTGAGGCCTCCATTTCAGCCAGTCCTCTGTTGGGGGGCAGCCATTTCCTCAACAGCCTCAGCATGTGTGGTGCTCTACACTGCCCCCCTGTTCCACACTACGCCGTCTGGTCAAGCAGTTACTGTATTTTGAATCCTGTTCAGTCTGTGGCTTCTTAAGGGCAGGAGGGAGAATGAATGGGACAGCTGCTCCCCTCTCTGAGTGCTGCCTCCAGTAGTCTCTCCCAGTTCTGGCCTTCTCCCACTTCTTGGGAAAGACTGCCTCCACTCTCACACCCCAGGGGGCATCTGATAAGGAGAACCAGGGTTGTCACTGAGTACAGAGGATTCAGTTAGGATTTGGAAGCCCCGTATTCAGATCCACACAATAAGAACATAAGAGATGCCAATGTTGGATCAGGCCAAAGGCCCATCCAGTCCAACACTCTTGTCACACAGTGGCCAGAAATACCAGTGCCATCAGGAGGTCCACCAGTGGGGCTTGTAGCTGTGTAGCTTGTTGGTGACCCCAGGCCACTCACTCTACCTCAGCCTCACCTGCCTCAAAGGGGCACTGTGAGGGTACACTGGAGAATGGAAACATCGGCACATGCTGTTATGAGCGTCTCAGACCCCATCCTACCTCACAAGGCTGCCGTAGGGATAAAATGGCCAGTTTATAACCCTTTGAGGAAAGGCTGGATAAACAAGGTGCTTTTGCCTCTTCCGTCTTCTCCAGAACCGTGATTTTTTCCAATGAAGGGAGTCTTGGAGGATACAGCTCCAATCTAGTCTAGCTGGTCATAGCTTCAGCTCCGTGCTGTTTTCTGCACACTCCACTGATCTCAACAAGCTCAACTGGGAGTTGCTGAAAATAACTCTCATTGCCTCCCGCTAGCCAAATGGCCGTGGATTCGTCAGCCTAAAAGTGAGAGCACTGAAATTGGTCTGGCTCAGTCCACCAACCATGACATGCTGCAGAAGAGCCCTCTGTCTTCACCCTACCCTGGCTAATTCTGCCTGGAAATTAAAAGTAGAATTCTCAGCTCCTCAGTTCACCAACCTAATTCATTGACATGTGGGTGTTGTTCAGTTGCTCTCTTGTGAGCAAGCTTATGCAACTGCTCTGCAGTTTCTTACATGTCAGGATCTTGTTGATGGGAGACAGACTCCTGCAGCTCCATGTTAGGACAGATGAGAGGGGTCAGAAGTTCAGTCTCTAACAACCCAACCTTTGTTTGTCAGTCCACTCGATGACTTGTCCTTGATCTGCAAGGTCATCTTCTGGCTTTCTTGGATATCACAGCCCTCTTCAATAAGGCACTGCCATTTCCACCTGGATGTCTCTTGGGAAAGATTTGTAGGACAGCTACTGAGGCATTTGTCTCGCTCTGTGGGAGGGATTCCAGCCTCATTCCACTCACCCTGACTGAGACAGTCTTGGGCGCATAAGTCTTCCAGCACATTGTTCCTCAGTAGTTCTGCATCTCCCACCCTGGATGATACAGCTTTTCAACATCTCATACAAGGATACCTTCCTCCACTGATGGAAAACAAAACATTGGACTTGAGGATGCCTTCCAGTCCACTGAGAATAAACTCTAATGTGTAAGCCCGGTGCTTGATTCTGAGCCCATTGGAAGGGTATAACTCTGTTTAGGATTGCACTGTTCGTTTCTGTTTCATACTGCAAGGATCTTCGAATAGCTACTAAGCATTTAAGCAGTACAGCAAGAGAGTTGTCCTGTGCCTGCACAGACTAATGAATTCTAGGTTTATACATCCTTCAAACTGGTGTTTTCATACCAGTCCCCTAATTGAATATCTTCTATTACTGTAAATCATGGAGGGATGAGCACTGTGCTGTCATTCTTTTCACCCTCTAGATTCCTTCCACTTCTGTGGAATTGGTGTGCTTTAGAAGTCTTCTGGGAAGGGGAAGTATTTGCATGATATCTAATGAGCTGAGGTTAGAGTTCATCTCTGTGGCTTCCCACATTAGTGTAATGGGTGTCTTATATGGCTGATGTTCTTTACTAGTGTGTAACTGCAGTTACAGTGCAATAACTTCTATAAAGATGCAGGGTTCCAGTGTTACAAGTTTGAGTCCAATGGCACCTTTAAGACCAACAAAGTTTACTTCTGGGTATAAGCTATCGTGTGCATACACACTTCGTCATGAAAGCTTATAGCCAAAATTAAACTTTGTTGGTCTTAAAGGTTCCACTGGACTCAAACTTCATTCTGTTGCTTCAGACCAATACAGCTACCCACCTGGTTCCGGTGTTGTATTTGGTATATATGGGTGATAGTGTTTAACTGAGATTTGAGCCTAGAGAATGGCTCCACTGAGGCTGTTAGTCATTCCAGTCTCTGCTGTTTGTTCATCTGTTTGCTTTTAAGGTATAAAGACTATATTTGCAGGCTCCAGCTGCAATGATCTGGTCTGCACAGAACAATGTGTGATGAGTGGACACTTTGACAAGAAAATTCGCTTTTGGGATATTAGGTAAACTGTTCTTTGAGACATTATGCTCTGAAAGCCTCACAAAAAGCACCAGAAGGCATCTGTGACATACATAAGGATCTCTGCTTTTAGGAGGATAGTTCTGCTAAGGGGATGGTTTAAAAATTAGTAAACTCAAAGCATGTCTCCCTTCCCAGCAAGTTCAAAGGAGGAACTAGGCCGGGGCTGGGGAGGAGCAAGTATTAATAAGTACATTTATAGGGAGATGACTGTTGAACGGGCCCATCTCTTCCCCAAAGTTGTATATGAAGAAGTATATTTAAATCACTCAGATAATAGTGAAATTCGGAATATTTTGGCAAATAGAATGGGTCTAAAGAGCAAAGGTGAGAGAACGGATTTAGACAGAGGTATATAACAAGGGTAGAATAAGACCCACTGTTAAGGAAAGGAAGGACATGGAGGCCCACTGTCAGATGATGTGAGAACTGCCCATTGCAAGGAACCATACATCTATTTTAAAACATTTCTTCACACACATTAAGATAATAAACCTGTTTTAATGCTAGCAAGAACATTCCAAAAGAAACAAAATCTGTTTTAGACTGCAAGGAGAATAGCAAGCAGAAAATATAGCCAGTCCCAAAGCACACTTTGTAAACCATGATGCTCATTCCATGGTTGTAATGCTTCAGCAAGGTGCTGGTGAGGTGCCACTTTTCTCATGTGTTGCAAAATATTGCTGTAGGTGCTCTTAAGGAATCTCTCCCTCCCTGTTTTGTTTTTAGAACTGAGAGCACAGTACTAGAAATGGAACTGCTTGGTAGGATTACAGCTCTAGATCTCAACCCAGAAAGAACGGAGCTCCTCTCCTGTTCTCGAGATGATTTGTTGAAGATTATTGATCTTCGTGTCAATGCTGTTAAGCAGACTTTTGGGTGAGTGTGAGTTTGAAGCATGTCAGCTGGCTATAAAATTATGAGTGTGTGTGTGTGTGTGTGTCCATGTACATACCAATGTGTGGCCAGAAGAATGCTGTACCCAAGATGAAAAGATGTGCTGGGAGAAGGATTCATGATAGTTAGATTATTCCTGTGCAGGTTAGCAGAGGTGAGATGTCTCTGTTTTTGTAGTTGTTACCTTAATATTTGAAAATTAATTGTATTGAATGTTCCATGTTTTTTCTTTCTCTTGTCCAGTGCCCAAGGTTTTAAATGTGGGTCTGACTGGACCAGAGTTGTATTCAGGTAAGAAACCAAACAAGGTCTTGATAAATTCTCACGAAGAGCCAGTGTGGTGTAGTGGTTAAGAGTGGCAGACCCTAATCTGGAGAAGTGGGTTTGATTCCGCACTCCTTCACATTAAGCCTGCTGGGTGGCCTTGGGCCAGTCACAATTCTCTCAGGCCAGTCACAGTTTGCTCAGAACTCTCTCAGCCACACCTACCTCACAAGGTGCCCGTTGCGGGGAGAGGAAGGGAAGGCAATTGTAAGCTGCTTTGAGACTCCTTAAGGGGTATAAAACCCCACTCTTCTTTTTCAATACGAGGTGACTAATATTCTAAGAGATCTCTTGCTTCCAAGAATGTAGAATTTTGGCTTGCTTGTGTCTTTGTTTTTTCTTTTGCACAAGATGACTAGACAGGTAGAGCTGGCAGGGTTTACACTGCGAGAAGTACTTATTAATAAAAGTGAAGGAGTGGAGTTTCCATAATCACGTAGATAAAGGACTTTTGTAGGAAGATCCACATAAAGTATGGTCCTCTTCCCACACTTCAGCTGTAAAGATTTATGCTTTATTAGACTGAACTGGCTAGGATCTCCCTTAACTATTTGCTGAGGGGGAAAAGGGGATTCTCAGAAGCCTTAGCGGACTTGCAAGTCTTGGAGGTGTTTGCCTTATATTTAGCACTCCGGACAAGTAGAGAGTAATGGGAGGGGTCATGGCTCAGTGTTAGACATCCTCTTTGAATGCAGACGTTCCCTGGTTTAATCCCGGCATCTCCAGTTTAAAGAGATTAGGGTGGTGCTAGAGAGCTACTGCCACTCAGAGTAGTAGACAGTACTGACTGTAGCTTAATGGACTGACTCAGTGTCATGTATTGTATTGAATACAGTGTCATGTATTCAGCTCAGCCCTGGTTCTGTGCTGCATTGTGATCAAATGTGTTCCCTTCTGTGGGGCAGAAAGTTTTCTTGTTCCTCTCCCCCTCCCAAAAAAGCAAGCATCCCTTGATTACTCTTTGTTCTCCATTCATGCTAGTTGATGTTGATAAAATAACACCAATTTGTTGTCCATTATTTGTAACATTGTTATGTGACTGTTTCCTCATCACCTAATCTGGAAAATGCCTGTGTTTGCATCCTTGAGTACTGTGATGAAACCAATACTGTGACTTTTCTCCACTCAGATCTGAATCTCTCCAAGGTCTGAAGAGAGTCACTGACTTAAAAGTTAATAACTTGTGCCTGGAAAAATCAAACTACCAACCCCTGTGTCTTGTCTGAATTTTCTGGGAGTCTTTGGGTGGGCTTCTTTAGTGATTTTACATAATGAACAAAGAGTACATGTAGTAATTGAGCTTAGTATATTCAGTAAGATAATAATCTTCCATTTTTCCTCCACATCTAATCCATGATTTTTCAGCCCTGATGGCAATTATGTGGTGGCTGGCTCAGCAGATGGGTCCCTTTATATTTGGAATGTGCTCACTGGAAAAGTGGAGAAGGTGCTCTCCAAGCATCACAGGTGAGGCCAGATGGTGACTGAAGTCAGCTTGTCATTTAATGAAGTATTTGAGGGACTCCCAAATGAGAGATTAGTTCTGGATGGTACAAAAATGCAGGAGATCTTCTGGTGCTGAGGAATCACCTGTAAAATCAAATTATAAATTCCCTCAATCACTGGCTGATTGATTTAATCAGTGTATCACTGATACAAATTAAAAAGTTAACGCTAGCCATAGTCATGAGCAAATTTGACTGGTCCAAGTAAGTAGCAACACAAATCTTTAAAAATGGCTTTATTGGGACCTCAAAGCTCATTAGCATTTCCTTCTTTAACCCAGATTTACTATGTTTTCAAGTGTATCTGGAATCTCATGGGTATAGACTGACTTTTGCATTTTGTTTCAGCAACTCTATCAATGCCGTGGCATGGTCACCATCGGGAGTCCATGTGGTCAGTGTGGATAAAGGAAACAAGGCTGTCCTGTGGTCTGACTTTTGATTCGAAGGTGCAAGTGCCAGCATGCCAAAAACCTGCATGGGAGAGCAATGGTCTGTGTCTGGACAGAATTGGCGTTCCAGTCAGTGATCTTTTGCTAAGTGCGTAGGTTTGACTTTAGGAAAGAAGTCTGATGCAGCAGCTAAGGAAGACAAGCCCTTCCACTCTAAAGTACGGTGCTGAGATGCAGCCTCCGTGAAGGACTGGGAGAACAAATAGGCTTTAAGATGCACCGTTTGTGCACTGGAAAGAGTTCTTGCACCAGGCAGCAGTGCCAAACGATTCCTTAAATAATTGTATTGAGCACTTCATGCTTAGGAGTACTTTAGCAAAGTTCCTGGGTGTGCTGATGTTATGCATGTACTGTCATCCGTGTTCTCTTCTGTGGATTAGCAAAAGATGTGAGGTGAAGAGTCCTGAAGCATAGAAAGGGGTGGGTCTCAACTGTGATATTACTTGAATGAGTCCATGGTTTTGGCAGCTGTGTCCACAGTGCCTCAAGCACTTAGTGAGTCACAGCTCCCTGCATTGGCTTTGCCTGTAACAGGGGGATCTGCCCATTTTGCAGAGATGCTGCATCCTCCAAAGGCTTTCCAGGTGGCAGTGGAGCAGAAACTTTTTTAAGTTGACCCAATTTTGTCTTGGGTATTAATTGTGGGGAGTGACTGCTGCTGTGGTAAAGAATGTATTAAAAACATGACTTCGGCACCAAATATGTGATTATTTCTGCTGTCCTCCTGTACCGGAGCCTCAAGCGCAGAAGAGTGAGGGGAAATAGAGCCCTGAATGTAAATGTTCTGGTGCTGGCAAATCCAGATCACTTGCCTGTGTGTGCAATATTCTTCCTGTGCTGGAGCTCTCCCTTTGCCCGTGAGCAGATTTGTTGACCAGTGTCTCCTGGCAATCAAATGCACAGCGTGGTCTGGGGAGAACGAGCTTGTGCCGTTGCGCGTTCGTCCAGCCAAACACTTCTCCATGTCCACTGGGCCTCAAGACACACCAGCATTTAATTGCCTTTTAATTTGCACTTTAATTTTGCTTCCTTCCTAAGCTTGTTTTATATGGAAGTGTGTTCCTATTGAAGGGCAGAAGTGAGCAGGAATTCTTTCTGTGGGGTTCTCAGTAATGGACCTCTTCATATTTTGAAAGCTTCTGCTGAGGAAAACAGGACAACCCTTATTTATTGTATTAATCCGCCCACTAGTACTTGACTGATTATAAATAAACCTTGTGTCCTGCTTCTAAACTCACAGCACTTTCCCTTCCTTTGTTCTTTTCTCTACTTTAGGGTGGGTGTGGGCAGGTGAAATGGCAAAAGAGTGTGAAGAAAGCTCTGCCATGCAACCTGTGGTTTGGAAGTTTTGTGAGGGTGTGCTGCTTGGGAAAAGGTGGATTGACAGCTTTTTAGAATGTACGTCAGGCTGTGCCAGCTGCAGTTACATCCACCAGCTGGATTCAAATCCAGTAGCCCCTTAGAGACCCACGAGATTTTTGGAGTATGAACTTTTGAGAGCCAAAGCTCCCCCTTCATCAGACCATTGCAAACTACTCCAGAGCAACACGGCTACCCTCAGAAACTGCCCACCAACTCTCCATTCTGTGGAAGCCATAAGATGGGGAAGGCAGGCAGCATTGTGCTGCCAGTTCTTCACTGCTGAACAGAGTGGGTAGAACCTGCTTAAAAGGAGGCAAATAAGTTTTTCATGTATTGGGAAAGGGAGAGTGCAGCCTGTGGAGGGCTTAACTTCTTTTGAATGTTTTGTGATCGTGCGCAGGCGTGCGCATGCCCACATATACAGGCTCGTTTCTTTAGGCTTAGGGTGGCTTGCAGTACTTTAACATTTGGTTTATTTTGCTGCTTTCTAACCTTTCCTACACCATTCCAGGTGATATGTAGGCAGTTGAAGCAAATTCAGCCCAGGACTAACTTTTTTTGGTGACTAGACAATTCCATTATACACAACCAGGACCACTCTCCTTTGATTCAGAGCTTTGAAGCATCAATCTCCCAGCTATCTCTTTCCCACATGAGTCTTGTGTACCTGCTTTGCAAACCTGTATGTTCTCATCTGAAATGGAAAAGGGGACAACCATGAACTACATTCACAATTGACCTCGGTGGTCACTGTACCATGTTGTCCTTTGGTTGTATAAGAGCAGCTTCAGTCATTGGGTTGTGTGCATCAGTTGGAGGATGGGGGTGGCAAAGTGGTTGGTTGGTTGTTTCACGTCTTCATGATGCAGCAGCCTGGTAGCACCCAGTGTAATCGTTGATCGCAGTAAAGATGGCATGGAGGCATTGAATTATAAGCCTGATAGACAATTTACTGTTGCCTTCTACTGCAGCAGCACCATGTATAATGGTTGCTAGGGGTGAAGTGAGTCTCAAGTCCAGCATAAATTAGCTTTGTTCAGTCTGAGTAAAGGCTGGGAAGGAGTAAATGGGTGGTTTAGGCAAGCTACTACTATGTTTTCCCGTACTATGACTACCTGTGGATCATCAGCCTGGAAGGTCCTCCGCAGTTCTCCAGCATACGTACAGCTGCTTGAAGCACCATGGGAATCTGAAGCAGGGGGTTATCTGCCGTCTGCTTAGAGCATGAAAGAAGCCTGAGCTTGCCTTCTCATTGTGCTCTTTGGGAAGCCAGTTACAGAATCCCTGTGGGGAGAAAATGTGGGCTGAACACTGGGTGATAGTAGCAATGAAAATTCGACTGGTGTGGGCTATTTCTTCAGTGTGAGAATTACAGCATTTTCATATCTCACAAACCACTGAACAAATAATCCCTGCAAATGATGTGATTTATTACACAGGGCTGTTGCGGTATGAGGGGGGGGGGAATCCATCAAAAGACTGGTACTGTGTCCTTTGAGAGTATCTGTGTTTTTGCCGCTCACAATTACTTGTGCTGTATAAAAATGTAGCATTTGCATAATCCTAGTTAAGAAGGTACTTGCTGCGTGTGTTGCTAGCCTCCAGAGATAACAAATGCGCAAGAGTGTTCCTAGCGCTGAATCACTGGGATGAAGGATTACCAATGGATGACATCTGTTTTCCAAAGGAGGACAACTGCAGGCTAGAGTGGGAGAGGTAAGGTGTTGTGTAAGACAGATGCAGGGTCAGTCTTGCACAGTGAATTGTTCCAGAATAGTATACATAGTGGCAGCCTAATGCAAGATTCCATATAATGTTTAGGGTAAACTCCTACTAAGATACTATGGGTCTTGTTATGGAGAGTACAAACTGGAAGAGGATACTGAGCATGCAGCAGTTGGGTTAATAAATACTGCCAGTGTTTGAAATACAAGGGAAATAGTCTGACACATTTCTGAGTATTCCTATTGTAAGCAAAGTGTTTCCTCTTGGAAATCATGCTGCTCAAATTAATGAGCTGGGACAGTTTCCATCAAATGGGTTTAGTACATTATTATAAGCACTGAAAGACAGGTTTACCTTCTAGGGAAAGGTCATGACCTTCGCAGTACTGGGGCTTTTCCCCAAATAACCTCAGATCCAAAGCCACACTCTAACATTAGATTGCTACCTACTATTATTTATCAAATGCTTTCCCATTTTTCCTGACTTTTAGTGAAGTGAACTAGCTTCCGTCCCCACAAAGCTTCAGCCAGAAATGGGGGGGGGGGCACCCAGGGGCATGACGTCACTTCCGACATCACAAAAAATAATAAGCCTAACCTCCCTCATTGGGCTGCTGTGGAGGAAGAGTGGGAACAGACAGGTAGAGAGCAGGACATAATTCATTCTCAGCCTTGGGTGGCTTCTGTCTGTTCAACTCTCAAGCCCCTTGCTTCTCCAGGCGGTGGCATACATTGATGCACCGTTTGGGCGGCTGAGTTTCCTTGCTTGAGTTCAAGTGCTTAATTCAGGGCAGGCCTAGGAAGCTGTGCATGGAGATTTGCCGAAGCAGCCTGTGCCAGGTCTAAAGAAGAGAAGATGAAGACAAACCAAAGCTGCAAAATCAGCCCCGAGCACTGCTATATAAAATGCCTGGCGGCGAGCCAGTGCATTTGCATGTGTGGGGGAAGACAAAGGCAGGGAAGAGCAAGCGCACCTCTCTGCACAGCTGCAAGGACTGCAACTCCCCCAAGGCAGTGGGGTACCCTTTGGGCCGGCCAATCCCCGCCGCCCTCCATGTACACAGTGTAGGATGAGGCTGGCCGGAGAAAACGCCTCCCTGCGGAAATGAGGCTGTGACCCTTGTCAGGCTCTGTTGACAGTTGATGGCTGCATTCTCTGCCCCAGGTGGGTTTCTCTAGGGCGAAGCATCCCGATCCTAGGATGGGGCAGCACATTCGTTTATCACAAGCAGGCTTCCTCCTCCCCCTCCCAGCCCTGCTCTCTTCCGGGCAAGTACTCCACTAGCCACTGCGAGGGCAATGGGGGAGGGGGGAAGCCTGCTGCTCCTGGCCCTGGGAGGGGGTGGAGCTGATTCAGAAGGGGGCGCCACCTCCAGGGCTCCACCCTGGCTACAGGCCTGAAGTAGGCAGGACTTTTGCCCTTTGGAGAGCTGATTGACTGTGTACATTAAAAAAAAAATCTTTAGCAACAGCTGCTACCACAGTGCAAGAATATTTCCTGTATGACTGCCAATAAGCTGAGTGTATGCAAGAAAATATTTTTAAACAATATCTTAATTTAAAAGGCTTCTGTCTGTAATGTTGAAGAGTTACTATTACAGTTAAGTATAAACTCACTCCCTGGTATTTTCAGTGTGTCTGTCTCCTATGGTAGCCATTTTGCAGTTGCGCCCACCATCCTGTGTCAGAATTCCAAAGGTGCTCACAGGCTGAAAAAGTTTGGGGTTTCCTGTTCTAAGCAAACCAAACATCAACAAGATGGTGGGGATCTCGACATAATTCTGATATCTGTTGGGCAAAGTGAGATTTGTTGTGATGGACAACTTGGAACTCCGCCTCTCCCTAAGAGTGACAAAACGGATCTGACCAAATGTTGGTGAGAGGCTGAGTTAAAACTCCATTAGTTCTGCTAACAGGAGAACTGGTTGAGAGGAGGAGTGGGAAGCTTCAAACCAGCAGAGCAGGCTGACACTGGCTGGGAGAAAGTAAATCCATAACAATCTTGAATGCCTGAACAGAGTTACCGTTCAAAAATTCAAGCATGGAGAAACTTTGTATTCATCTTCCTGATTCACTCCAATGTTGTGTTTTAAGCCAAAAAAAATGTTAACTTCTTATTTGTGTAACCCTATTGGCTGGATGTGTATGGTCTCAGGGAAAGAAGCACACACACAGAAACGAAGATCTCTGTATATATAGATATGGATGAATAAATGGTGGCAGCGTCTGCCTGAAGCAGCATTTGAGTCCGCATTTGAGTCCCAACCCCAATAGCCTTGTGAAGTGTCTGAGTGGGGTGTGATCGTTAAAGGGTACTGATCTTCCCTGTTCGATGGTGTCTTTGTGAATGAGACAGAGGACCTGGTGTGTTAAAGGGTTAGGGCTATCTATATATTTTAAAAGGGACAAACTCTGACTGCCTAACCTACCTGTAACCCTGAACCTGTGTGCCAGAGGTTGTGGCGGGTGATAGGGTCTGTGAATGAGTAGGGGGTCACACTTGCTTTTTCACTGTTGCCTCCCAACATATGAGCTGTACATTTAAACAGTTGGTCCCTGTCCCTGACACAGGTAATTGTAGGTTCCCTCAATTCTCTCCTTATGTTTGAAGAATCTGAAGCTTTTAGTTCATCAAAACAGAGACTTTCGGATATTGAAAAACAAACTCTCTGCTCTTTAGCAAACAGGACGTGTTCCCTGCTGGAGTTTGGTATCACACCTGATCATGGGGTTCTAACATCGTATTTTTCACACTTAACATCTCCTCAGTTACGTCGAGCTTTTATGCTCACAGCTGTTCTTGGAAGATTTACAAATGTTCCTTTTGAAAAACTTTGTCCATATACTGTCAGAAATCTTGAATCTGTATCCCATATTTTGCTCTTTTGTGACTTCTGTGTTAAACTGCAAGATTATTTAATTAGTCCTCTTCCACACAACTTTCATTGATATCCCATTGAGAGGCTTGTTTAATATATTCTGTCAGATCAGCACCCTTATATTACTGTTCAGTAGCAAAGTATCTTCTAATTGCTATGAGGATTTGGGAGCATAAGGTAAAATCCTCTGATGGGGAACTTCTCCCTTTGTAACACTTAAATTGTACTTGTTTTCTTTCTCTTATGTTTATAATTTATGCGAATAAAGGCACTGAACTATAATACTTAACTATAATTGTAGGTGGGAGAGAAGTTTAGCTCCTATCCCAATGTTCTCTCATGTAAATCAGTGGCTGCCATCCATTCTTATGAGAAAGATAAAACTTTGCACTTGAGTTGCAGTCAGCTGAACTGGTTTTCCCAACTTCCACAAACAGCTTCATGAAAAGATGTGATTTCTCTTTGTCTGGAGAGCACAGTACCCTTTCCCTAGGGTCCTTCAAATGAGTGGAACATGTCCCATCATGTTTGCATAAACCAAGTGTAATGTCTACACCAGTAGAATGTGTCAGTTGTATGCAGTTGTATCTGATAACACGTTTTTGCTTGTAACAAGTCATTTTTATGTTATTCTACTACAAAACTCAATAAATCAATGATATGATAAAACATGCCAAAGTCTGTCTTTTTGTTCATCAGGACATAATTTGTTATTCTTGGCATCCTTACATTTTATATCAATCCCTTCTCTTTCCAACACCTGGCATCTGATATGTTAGCCACAGGAATAATATATGCAACTGTTTCTTTAAAGTATTGATTTTTTGTGTTAGTCAATAAAATAATAAGGTCTTTAATTGTATGTCAAATATAAATATCCTACACATTTGATCTGAAATATTCCTAGTACTACTTGGCTTTGAGGGTTTTATAACTGTCTGAGGCAGGATCACCATTGTGCGATAGATTCCTTCCAACTGCCCATTTTATTTAATTTATTACAGCATTATATAATGCATTAAAACCTTCTCTCTTTTTTTCCAGTTGTCCTTAATGGAAAGTGCTTATCTTCCTTTCAAGGGTATTTCCAGGTTTTAAAAAGACACGAGATGTTTAGATTGTGTACCCATCCTTATATGATTTGACCTGCTGTTTTTCACCTTTTAGTTTTATTTAATCTTTTTATTTGTTATATTTATAGTCCGCCCTTCTCACTGAGACTCAAGGTGGATTACACAGTGTAAGTCAAAACAATTAGCAGTATGGAACGTCCAGTAAACAATGCAATAGGATTTGGATGACAGAAATTTGGATGAGCGAAAATGAAGTATAAGTATTTACATAAGTAGGAATTACACAGTAGGATCATACAGTACACTGACTGTTTGTTTACCAAAGCATCTTTCTGAAACATTTTGTTACAGTACAATCCATTTACCTGTACAGCAGCATGCCTTGTCTTATAGAAAGGCTATGTTCTTTTCATTTGAATGGAAGTTCGTTTTTATTATCACATAAACCATGTTAAGTGACTTACAAGGATTTAAACCACCATGTACTGGTACCAAACACTTTATTCTGAAATATTTCCACAGGTCATACCTTTCTTATTAGTTACTGAGTTGGTTTTGTATGTATCCTCAGAATGTGGGGGGGGGGGTGAGTCAAGGAACAAGAAAGGAGTGGCATGGAATGTTGGAGAAACCAGGAGGGGGGAAAAGAGAGCAGTGAATAGTAGCTGGTGGAACTGAAGGACGAGAAGAAAAGAGAAACAGGTAAATCTAAAAAGGCTGGGGGTGTGGAAACAGCTGAGAATCCAGACATTACCTCTAGAATAGTAAGATCGCTCATAGTAACTACAAGATGTCTAGAGCTTTTGTTTTTGCAGAGACTGTGCAACAGCATCTTTGGGTTTAGGGATTATTACACCTGCTTGTCATAACGATAACTGAGAGACTAGCAGAGGGAGACAGTTTTCCACTGGCACATACGTTGGTCTAAATTAATTTGTCTGCAGAAGTATATACAGTAGTGTAAGATGTTTTAACAATGGCAAATTGTTTTGTTGATGAATTTATTTCCCTGGCCACCTTCTGTTTAAAAGACTCTGGTTAGCCATATTGATTTAATTGTGTTTTCTTTAAGGTTGGATGAGCCCACAGTTTGAAATTTCCCTGCAGTCCTGGGCACAATTTTCCCCTTCTGTGTTTCCTTTATATCAAGTGTGATTTAGAGAGCATTGTGCCTGTCTATCATAATGGTGGGCATTCAGCTAGAATGAAAAGAGTGGGACATCAATAGATAAGTCATCTTCTAAATAGGATGGGTTTTTGGTTAGAAGATAGTAGCCAGCACTGATGTATGTATGGTTCTATATGATGCTTGTGTGCTAGAAAAGATATGTTTACAAAATCAATGGTGCACAAACAGTGCTTTATCTTTAGCTCATTAGCAGGCTGGATGGTTTTCATCCCTAGTAAGGAGGAGATGGAGAGATTTAAAACAAAGCTGCTTTCAATAACCTCCTTCCTAAATCTTCTGGATGCTGTCTCTGTTCTTTATGAAATCAGGAAGCCTGACATTGTAGGACTGAGGTCCCTAAGGTAATACCCACCAGCACCGCCGCTCTTACCAGTTTCTGATCCGCTAATCCAGGTATAATACCTGTGTTTGGATTTATAGTTGGAAAGCCAAAATCTCAGTTTCAGATCTACTGCAAATTGCCACCCTAGCATCTGAAAGGGATAATGCTTCATCTGTGTGTAGAAAGTCAAGTCAAACGCATCTGTATCTGGATTATTCAGCCCTGTACATTAAGTTAAGCGGTGTCTTTGTTTTACTGCTCCTGGAACTTTCTCCTCTGCTGGCTTGGGGGCATTTGGAATCCTGACAGGTATTTCTTTTCATTGCAGATATGTCCATTTAATGCAACATTCCTAGCCCTACTAACTACAGAGCAAGGCCACTAAATTAGGTGAGGCTTAATTTCTAAATAAACATGCATTTGATTGCTCCATAATTTTTTTCATTTCCAGTTTGTCAAGTGCAGCAATGCTTTTTAAAAAAAAACAACAAGAAGAATCTTATGATGAGCTTGAACCATTATGCTTCTGCAGTGGGAAAGGGAACACTCACTTTTGCATCATTGTAAATATAGGAAAAAACTCACCAATATTGAAATACTTTGTTCTAGAACTGCATGCGTCATGTTGGGGAAATGGAGAGGCGTTTATTTCTATAGTTAGTTTGCTGTAAATTGTTGTGCTATACTTGTTCAAAATACTGGTAACTTCAGAAGCAATTTATGTTTATGTAATTATATTTTTATGAGCTTTTGAATAAAGGACATAAGGAGATTGTGGGTGTGAATAAGGCTTGTTATTAGTTTGAAAAAACATCTGCCCGAGTTATATAGATATGACAATAAGATTTTTAACTTTTTGTATTGTCAGCAACTTTAAGATTACTTTATAAATGTATAGATTAAAATGCCATAATCTCGATGTGATCAAAATTGATAAGGGTTACATGTTTTGAAAAGATGTTGAAATTATGTAGCCAAAACTGCAGAAAAATGAATTAACTCAATCCTCGTATTTAACATTTCCTCTATTAGCTAATTTTTCCTGTTTTATATTTTCACATGGTTTAATCTTATTTCAGTAAAATATCAGCAAATGCCATTTTCCCAAAAGCAAGCAATGAATATCTTTTTAACTTACTTGTAATCTTCTAGGATATGCTAATTTCATCCATTATTTCCCACAACTTTTGTATTTCATTAATTTTATGCATTTTAAAATGGACCCTTGGGGTTAAGGATTGTGGGCAGCAGAATACCATTACTAGCCCAACGAACAGTTTATTTAATCTGACGTAGACTGAAGCCACTTAGCAAAAACATTACCTGGGGCCAATGTTACAGTATGTTTGAAATCAATTAGATTTGATTAGAACCAGCATGTTCACTATCATATCTTATCCCTACTGGCTGCATTCTAAAAGCATTACACTGTTTGTTGTTTTTCTCTTGTATTTCTTCTTGGGCCTTTACCATTATCACTAACCAATCAAAATCAGGCATGAGAACTTATTGCCTAACTCCAAATGTTATCTTGTAAACACTGATTGTCATGTAATATCTGCTTAGTTGGGCTTTAATTAAAATATATTGAAAGGTCTGGCTGAGATGCTGGAATTATAGCGACAGGGCTACAGACACGGCTAAACCAGCAACAAAATATGTTACAATACAATTGCTGTTATCCAATTAATATTAACCACTAGTGCAAATAGCTACCGCAGTTCCTAGGAAACACTGATTCCCAATTCCAATAATTATGAGATTATTGAAGACAGTATGGAGATAGCGGCCTCTCGAGTGTCATGAGGCACCTTTTGGATGGTGCCTTTACTGTCAGTGCAAGACATCACACAGTCCATCAAAACCATTTTGAATGGTCTTGAATGTCTCCCGGGGGAGGGGGGGCTGGGAAAGGGTGGGTTGTCTTGAATTTTCGTTTTTAGAGGAAAGATTAATTTTGAGACCATGCATTTGTCCTTTGCAATAGACACCTTCCTACAAATGAAAAGAAAAAGTCTTCAGTAGCAAGGCAGTCTCCAAACAGCTGTCACTTAAATGCCTAGCACTAATAAAATGGTAGAAGAAAGCAATGTTACCAAAGAGAGCAAGAAAGAGAAGGACCTGGAAATCTGGAAGCAGCCTGCATCAAAGGGAACTGTTCACCCAATCTAACCAGATCTCAGACTTGGATCTATAACTGTAACCCTTGATCTGGGACTTTAATGGGTTGGTGTTTGATGCATTGTACAAGGTTATTCAATTTTTAATCTGTCTTAAATATAGCTATGTCTCCCATGGCTTTGCTTATTTATGTCTGACACTGGTCTTATCTGGATATAGGAAAGCTTCATTCTTACCAGGTCATATAACTGTAGAGATGAGCTGCCCTGAACCTCCAACGATGCTCTCTGTTTCCCAAATCTCTGTGAAGAACGCCATGTCTCCTCAAACTCATGTTATCTACAAGAAGATCTCTCGTGACAAAGGAGTAAGTAGCACAGCAAGTGGTCCTGATCTGTAATTGCCTAGAAGATGGCAAACTTTTTTCCAGCCACTGAGCTTGATTTGCTGATGCTTGCTTGCCACTCAACTTGATTTGCTGATGCTTGCTTGCCAGACATGTAAACAAGCTCTCTTCTGTATTATTGCTGTAAAAGCAAAATGTTTTCTTTAGGGTCACTACATTCAAAAGAATATGGGGCCTTTGTGGACGGGACTGTGGAGCTACAGCTTTTCTCAGCTGTACCTGCCAAAACTCCCTTCTATTTCAGTGTTAGCAGTATAGGTCTACTATACTTTTGAGTATTGAGTCAGGGACTTGAGCGGGCTGGAATGGCTCAGAGATGACCCTTCTAGTACTAGCTTATAATCACATTACATCCTTGTGCTGAGATCAGTGAGTGTTTGGAGTGGCCTTGTCCAGTCATGATTTTCTACATCTTACAGGTTACTATCTACCTGGGAAAGCGAGATTTCATTGACCATGTTGATGATGTGGAATCTGTAGGTGAGCTGAGCTTGATTGCAGGCTTCTTCTTTTCAGTTTATAGAGGCTGACTATCCTGTGTCTTAGAGTAATTCTCTTTTTTTCCACCTTTGCTTATTCTCCCTACAGATGGTGTGGTATTGGTGGATCCAGAAATTGTCAAGGAGAAAAAAGGTCAGACAGCTTATCTGGTTGTGTTAGAGATTACTGCTCAAAGTATTAATGTGCTGCTTACAGTTAGAGATGTATCGTGGTTTGTACAAATTAGCAACCACCCAAGATAAGGACATGAGACATACTTTCAAAGAACATCAGATCAAGCATTTTATATTATTTTAAGTATTTTCATCCTGCCCTCAACCAAAAATTGGTTTCTGGAGTGCTATTCTATCCTTCTAGTATCTATTATCCCAATCAATGAAATAGGGTTAAATGCTTCAGAATGCCCAGTCTGAACAATCTTTTGGGTTCTCCCTGATGTTGGTTGATAGAATCCTTAACTTGCTTTGGCCTTAGGGCAAAACAGTAATTTGCCTGATCTGTCATGCTTAGTTCACACATAAGTGAACAAATACCTCATTAAATGTGGCCTCCGCTACAACCTGAAGGTAAGGTGTAAAGATGGATCTGGTGTAGGGTTGTGAACTCCAGGTTGTGGAATTCCTGGAGATTTGGGGGTATTCCCTGGGGAGGGTGGGGTTTAGGGAGGGGGAAAAGCTCAGCAGGGTGTAATGCCATAGAGTTCACCCGCCAAAGCAGTCATTTCTCCAGAGGAAATGATTTCTGTTGTCTGGAGATCAGTTATAATTCTAGGAACTCCCCAGGCCCTGCCTGCAAATTGACAACCTTAATCCAGTACAAGATCCTGAGACAATTAACCTGATTGCTCAGGAAGGCAGAACCTCATGCTAACAACTTATTCCTTTTCTGTGAGACCCTTTTTATGTAACCTCTGTAAAGGAACCTCTTTGTAGTGTTCTGAGGTGACGTGTGTTATGCTGCCTCCTTGCCTTCTTTCATGTTCCCTAGTTATTTGTGCTGCCATCGAAGGCTCTTGCTGTAGAATTCTTAGTTGGACCTAAAGAACAGGATGGCTTAGTTATAGAACAGTCAGCTCATGGGAGTGGCTCTGGGGTAAAAAGGGGATCCCTTCTTAGGACTGTTTTATCATAAACATGGTTTCATGTTGAGTCCAGTGGCACCTTTAAGACCAACAAAGTTTAATTCTGCGTATAAACTTTCGTGTGAATGCACACTTCTTCAGACTTTGTTCTATTGGTTTGTTCTGGCTTCAGAAGGTAGAATTTCTGCTCACAACACTGTGGAGCTTAGAGGAAACATTGCTTCAGACCAACATGGCCACTCACCTGAATCTATAGTTTTATATTGTTTTATCTTTTAAACAGAAATAGTTTATTTAGCAGCATAACAATGTAGCAGTTTCAGTACAGTATCATAAGCATAATGGTTCCAGATAGGTGTACAGTTCTTGTTTCTCTAAAGTTCCTCAGACAGATCTAGCCAGAAAGGCTTATTTTTTCTCACCTGCCACTTAGGCTAATAACTTGTACAAAGTTTAATTTCCTCACTTGCCTCTTAGGCTTAGAACTTTCACACAGGCTTATTTTCCTCACTTGTCACCTCATAACTCCCATGCAGAGCACAGATTGCTCTCACAGCACTCTACTGCACTTACTACATCTCTTCTTTCCACACACACACACACACACACACACACACACACCTCTCCCCGCTCTCTCTGAACAAAACAATCAACCCCATCCCCTAGGGTACAGCTAATATCCAATCATAACATACTTCAATCACCCATCCAGCCCCCCCTTTTTCTTACTCTACAGCCCTGCATTTTAAATCACAGCAATATACATATAAAACTATACATTAAAACACAGAAACAAAACACACACAAAATATTTACATAGTGAAAACTTTACATATACCAGTTATAAAAGTCCTTCTCCACAATTCCTGCCAATAAGTCTAGACAGGACTGCAGGTTCAAGGAGGGTATGGGGGCAGGCGCTGGAAGAATTAATCACACACAAACCATCTTGGAGAAACATGGCCACAGTTTATTTATTTTACTACAGATAAAAGAGTAGTGGCACAGCATAGGGGCGAGTCCTAATATTGGGCAACCCACCTGCTGCCCGATGCACCCACCCCCCAGCTCGCCTGCTGAGGGGTTGACCATGGAATGGCAAGATACCAGGACATACACGTGCACCAGCCTCTACATGGTCCCCCTGCCACCTGGGGTGGAAGCCAGCCAGCAGCCCCCCACCTGGGCCTGCTGCTGAGTGGCTCCATGCCCCAGGGCCCCTTATGGAAGGGTAAAAAATGGGGGAGGTGCATGCCCAGGCATGCCTTCCCCCCAAGGGACCTTTCCCAGTGCCCAAACCACCCAGCTGTGACATTACAAATAAGAGTAAAAAACATTATACATCAACTAGTACAAACTATCAACTAGCACAAAATATGAGGGAGGGAGGGTAGGTCGCCGAGGACAAAAGAGTCCAGAGTCCAGTGCGGGGATGCTTAAAGGAACCCCTCTTCGGGCTCCTGCCCCACCCCCAGACCATGTCCTGCGGCCTGATTGGCAAGTGGCCACCGACCCAGCCTGTGCCCCGCCCCACCTTAGGGGACACTTGGACCTGGCCACCTCCTTCCAGCCTCCCCCCATCTCCTGTCTGGCAAACCATGGCAGAGGTAAGTCTCAGCCATGGTTCTCAATTTTACTTAGAAACAACAACTAAGCACAGATACCACAGATCCTTGGCTGAAGAGAGAGTTTGGTCAATATTCTCTACATGCGAATATCAGCATTCACAATTTTGGATTACCTCACACTGACTTCTTCGACAGACAAATATAACATATGTAATCAGTTACTGGAACAAGGGCATAAAAATTCAAAAAGCTTTGCTAATACTTAGTACATAATGTAGGTGATGAAGTGTGGAAACATTTACCAAAGGATCTGGTGAGTTTACTACTAAAAGAGAATGCCATGTAAAATGGTAGTCCAGTGGCACTTATGCCAACTTAAAATTGGAAAGATAGACAATAAGAATACTAATAATTGCTGAAACTGTAGTGAAGGCAATGCCTTGTTTTTATAGCTGTGGTGACACTGCCCGAGGGCTCAACAATTTTGATGAATGGTAACAAGAAATACCACAAATAGTTGAAAAATTACCATGCTGTGGTCTCCTACATTTTTTTCTCTTGACATGTGGTAGAGCTACCAAACCATGACCAGGTGATAATTTTAAATGCTTAGTGTAGCTCAGTTGGTGTTTGCAAGGTACTGGAGGAAGAGTACTAAGCCTCAGAAGAGTGAATGACTGGAGAAATCCAAGGAACTACTTGTATTAGTTGGACTTATGGTCCTGCAAAAAGTACAGAATACAATGCAGCTAAATATATATAGGAAATTATTATTGAAATTATGAGTGCTACTAAACTAAGGTAGTTGAAGCTAACAAATATGAAAAGCCAGATGATACGTTGCAGAAAATGTATGAAAAAATCTGTGTCACGTTGCAAACTGCAATCTGAACAAGGTTCTATTACTGAACTTTTCTGCTGATTTTCTTCAAAATGAGGTCATATGATGGAAGTGAAATAGAACTGCACCAAGGTGACCCAAAGTGTTCGTAAACTTACAAACTCTCCCTTGATGATATATTGGGGATATGTATTACTTAATATAGCAGAGTTGCAGTCATGAAAGCATGGTATTGCAAGCAGTAAATAAACTCCAAAGAAGTATATTGCAAACAGATAAAGATAGATTCAATCTACATCCATGTTGCAGTTGACAGAGGAGAGAAAGACACATGCACATCTAGAGCAATGTAGCACTTCCCAGTGTCCAGACATGCTGAGTCTCCTTACCCCAGTATGATATCCAAGGCTGTTGGCAGATTTAATAAGAGCAATGTGGAGCATTGTCCAGTATTTATCGTTGCATGAGGCCACCTATGCAATTCCTGTATGAAACCCATCTGAAAAGTCAGACTCCTAACAAATCTATGAATCCGGTAAGTGTGTGAGAAACTGCTGAAAGGCTATCCTTTCAGTTTCCTCCCCTAAAATGGGAAAGCTTGATATAGGGCAGTAACTATCTGAGGCATCACTGTTGGGATTTGATTCTTTTAAATTGGATCCAGATGTTTATATGCTTCAAATTGCCTAACATTTTGTTGTCCCCAAGAGAAGTGTTGCTATCCACAGCCCAGGTGCTTTTCACTGTCTAGGGTGAGCATGTGGGACCCAGTTTTTGTTACTTTTTACAAAATTTACTCTTAGTACAGCTTGCAAATGGCCACTCTTATACCTCTAAGTGCACCCTCTGGATGAGAGGGCAATATTTATAGTACATCTGCATGAAATCTGTAACATTCTGTGTGTTTTCTCCCCAGTGTATGTGACACTAACTTGCGCTTTTCGATATGGGCAAGAAGATATTGATGTTATGGGCCTCACTTTCCGGAGGGACCTGTATTTCTCTAGGACACAGGTGTACCCAACACTAGAAAAACAAAGACCACTTTCCGACTTGCAGACATGTCTACTGAATAAGCTGGGGGAGAATGCATATCCCTTTGTCTTAACTGTAAGTACTCTGAAAGGTGGGGTGTGTTTTTTTTACATTCTGTATTGGGCTTGAAAGGTTGATAAGAAAATGGATTGACAATATATTAATCTTGACTTTTCTGTCTAGGTGTCTCTTACATCTAATGTTTTTCAAGTAGCAGCACTTCAAGTTACTACATCTCTGGTGGCAGTTAATTCCAGAGCCCAGCTTTTAAAATATGGTCACCTGAGGAAACACAAGAGAGGCTCTGCTGGATTAGATCATCAGTGGTCCTTCTAGTCCTGCATTATGCTTCCCACAGTGCTCTACCAAATGCTCTAGAAGGCCTACAAGCAGGGCACAGATCCACCCCATGGTTTTATTGCCTCCCACCCTGTCAGTCACTGGTTATCAGAAATATATTGCCTCTGAACATGGAGGGTTGGATCCAGATTGAATTTTCCAATAACAAAAGTGGAGGTGTAACTTCTGCCAATCCCATTTTCTTGATGCAGACTCCCCACTTCCCTCATCATGCCATCTGTGAGGGTTCCCTGTCCTCCGGGAGCAGTATTTCAGGGAGATCAATGGGTAGCTGCAGGAGGGGGGAAAGTTGTGTTCCTGTCAGAAGGGTGTTCAGTCAGCAGAGAATCTGGATCCAGCCTGGATTTTTAATATATTTTTAAAGCCTCTCTACTTATTTTCTCCATCCCATGCATAATTTTATAAACCTTTGTTATGCTCCCCTTAGTCATTTGCCATGCACTGAAAAGCCCCCAGTCCTTTAGGCTTTCCTTGTTCCAACATCTTGATTATTAGGACTGCCTTTTTCTTCACCTTTTCCAGCTCTATGAAGTCTTTTTGAGACAAGGCCAACAGAGCTGTATACAGCATTCTAAATGTGGCTGCACTATAGTTACAGAAATGTGTTGCAATGCAAGGATCTGGAAAAGTCCTTTGAATGAGCACTCTGGAGTGCGATGTGAGGCAGGCTTGCATTTTCTAGGTCTGCTGGTTATGTAGTACCTTTCTTGAGCACTAAACTGCATCAACTGCCAACTTTGCAAATATCATTCTATGTGTCAAGTTTCTTCTTTTCCTTGCTATGCAGTTTCCAGACTACCTGCCATGTTCGGTCTCCCTGCAACCAGCTCCCCATGATGTCGGGAAGGTATATACAATCTCTTACATTTAAATAATATTAGGAAAGCAATAAAATGGCGAAATTCAGGGAATAGGACCTGCTAGTTTAAGAAGAATGTATTTCCCACAAACGAATGCAGAGAGGAAATATTTTCTCACTCTTAAAGATATTACTTAAGGCCCTTTTTGGACTTTGTTTGCAGGAGACCAGTTTTCAAAGCAAATAAATGTTAGGACCAGAGAGGTGAAGACTGTGTAACCTTCCCAACTTTCTTTGCTAAACGCAATTGATCCACTGTGCTCTTATTAGATATGGAAAAGGGTGGGAAATGACACACAGAGAGAGAGTGTGCCTGTCTTTTTTTCTTTTGAAGGGTGAGGAAAATGCTCAGTTTCATTTAGTATTGAAGCCACATGGAGGGGAGTGATTAAGCACTGCAGCCCTGACTGAAATCAAGGCCCTGCACTGCAATTTTTAAGTCTTTTACAAATGCTGGGAAGATCCAGTGGCAGATTTCCCAAAATCATGTTCATTTTTGTCTTAATCTGGCATCGACCTTGTCCCATGGAACAAGAAACACAGAGCAAGTGAGACAAAAGATTGGAATCAGAGGAAAATTTTAGCAGACTCCTCGCCCCCCATATTAGACCTAAGGTTAAAAAATGTTAGTATTATTACATGCTATTTTAGAAACATACATCAGGTTTAGAAGATAGTATGGCTGGTATTAGAGCTCAGCAAGCTGGGGCCTTTGAGTGCTCTGCCACCATTTTCAGTCCGCATGATGAGCCATCTGCATGGAGTGGAGGTAGCATCAGTATGAATCTAATGCTGCCTTCAACAAAGGAGGGTGGGATTTTTGCTCCCTTACCCTCAGAAACTTTGCAGTGGGCTCTTGAAAAAGCTGGAGCAGAGCAACTTACCCTGCTTTGGATCTTACCAGACACCTGCTACTAGGGTTGCCGACTTCAAGTTGGGGAATTTCTGTAGATTTAGGGGTGGAGAATGGCCTGGGAAGGGGAGGGAGCTCAGCAGAGATATGTCCATGCTACAAAGCAGCCATTTTCTCCAGAGGAAGGGACCTCTGTCATCTGGAGATAAGTTGTAATTCTGGTGGCTCTCCAGGCCTCATCTGGAGGTTGGAAAGCCTGTAAAGTGGGAGGTGAGTGGGCCCCAATGGCATTGTATGACATGCAGAGGGTTTAGTACTATAACAGTAAACACCCCATTGTCCCTTCCAGTAAGAGGACCCCCTTATAGGATTCCTGCTTGAGGAGCCCAAAATCTTGGGGTGGGGAGATACAGGGAGTTTTAGAAATGATCTCAAACACTTGTATGAATTGAAGGACTCTCTGAATATAGCAGAAAAAAGTTTGAGTCCAGTGGCACCTTTAAGACCAACAAAGTTTTATTCAAGGTATGAGCTTTTGTGTGCAAGCTGGCAGATTCAGGTAAGGCAACTGCACTCAGATGTTTAACCCGCTCCCTACCCCAATCTTTTTCCACAGTGCTGTGGGGTGGATTTTGAGGTCAAAGCTTTCTCTACAGACAATGTGGAAGGAAGAATTCTTAAGAGGTAATATTTTGTTTGATGGATAGTAAATGAAGTATATGGAAATATTAGAAATTATTAAATAAAAAAGACATTTACTGAACATTTTATTTTAAATTTCTATGCATTTTTACCATTGGGTGTCCAAAATAATATTTTATGTTTATCTTTTTGAGCGTGTGAACAGAAAAGTGGAATTTTTTTTAGAATTATATAAGATATGTTGCCTTTTGTTGGATTGATCTCTTTTTACACATAGAGACCTGGGTCCAGACTAAACATTTCCATGGGTTTAAGGACTTATGCCCGTGGAGCATGATTTTCCCGCCTCCCATGGCAGCCCAAAATGCACTAATAATTCTATTCTTGGAGGAAAGATAATCCCTAGAAACAGCATCTTGTGGGGAATTTCAGGCTCTCAGGAGAGGTGAGAAAATTGTGCTCATAAGGGAGACTCACTTGAGTCCACAGCAATGTCTCGTCTAGATCCAGCTCACAAGCCTGAGTGTCATACAACTTTTTACTAAGCAAAACAGGAAAGTAATGGAAGGATAAAACTATGTTCATTCAAGAGAAGTCTCTAGCATTGCACAGTCCTAAGCATGGTTACATCTTAAGTTCACTGAAGTCACTGGGCTGAAAAAAGTTGTGACTGTGCTTGAATTGCACTGTAAATGTCCTGAATTCCCTGAATATGACTGGGAACTTCTGCTTAACTGGATTGTAGATCAAACTTTGAAAGTAGGCACCTCCCACTACCAGAACTGCTGACCTCCAGTCTTTGTGAAAGCTTGTATGTGAAAGGAACTGATGCTCACTTTGTATTGCACTACCAGTACCTGATGACTGTTAGCATTGTGTTTTCACATCACTGCCCCCTGGTTTCTATGTCTCTTGCTATCTAAGAGCCCCACTCTCTATTTAAGAGCCCCATACCTATTTAAGAACCCCACTCCCATTCCCTCAGCTTCCATCGCTACCCATGGCTGCCACCATCTCAGTCTGATTGCACTTAGGCCCATGGTGTTTTCTGCTCCTCAGGAACTCTGTGCGCTTACTGGTCCGTAAAGTGCAGCATGCCCCTGAAGCACCAGGCCCTCAGCCTCAAGCAGATACCACCTGGCAGTTTTTCCTCTCCAAGAAGCCATTGCACTTGAAAGCATGTCTCAGCAAAGAGGTGAGGTGTTTTTTTCCCTTGAATTAAACTGAACGTTGCTTGGAGATGTTCTATGTAGCTACATTCTGTCTGATTGTTTGTAACAGTGGTTCATGCTGGGAGACATTTGAACTCACTGGTAAATGCTTCCACTGGTTTTCACGGTGTGGATGAGGCCCAGGGCCCCATCTGCCAAACCTGTCCAGGCAAATTATTTGGAATAAAGTTTTGTTGCACTGACCTGCTGAGCCCTCCTGCTAAGCCAGCCCAATTATTCCAGGTGTTTTATCATGGTGAGCCAATTCCTGTCACTGTGACTGTGATCAACAACACAGATAAAGTGGTTAAGAAGATCAGTGTCTCAGGTACAGTATGGTTTTTGGTTATAAACTGGGTGTTGTTCCCAAAGCTGTGATTGGGAAATAGAAACTGCTTTTAAAAGCCCCTACACATTTTGCATGTAGCAAATAATACTTTTCTCTTTCCCACTGCGCCACTGACATTTTGCTTTGCCTTCTTTCATCTGGGTGACTGGTGCAGCCCTCTTGTTTTCTTGTTCGTAGCATTAGATTTGCTTTGCCAATGTGCGAAGGCACTATCAATAGCAGGACTGACATTGCAAACACTGGGTTACCCCCAAGCCATTCAACCCTTGCCATGCCATCATATTCTTTACGTTCGGCTTCTGTCCTGCTACTGGCTGATAAGATAAACATTTTACAGATTTTATACATGAGGCCAATGACAGAAGAGGAGGAGAGGGCCAAAGAGATGTGATGCATGTACAACATGATTCTGCATATTCAGGATGATACCGGGAAGTGGTGCCAACCAGTGTTCCCTCTAAGCTGAGTTAGTGTGAGTTAGCTCACAGTTTTTGAGCCTCTGGCTCACACATTTTTGTCTTGGCTCAGGAAGGATGGCTCCAGAGCAAACTAGTTTATCCAGCAGCCAAATCTCTTGCTCACAACCTTAATGCCAGTAGCTCACAAAGTAGAATTTTTGCTCACAAGAGTCCACAACTTAGAGGGAATATTGGTGCCAACCCATTAGGCTTTCCTTGTTTGCGTGCAGTTTCCCACTTTTCTTTCTGTTGAACTGAAATTCTTTTCCCATTCCCCCTTCAGTGGTGCAAGTTGCTAATGTGGTATTGTACTCCAGTGACTTTTACACCAAAACAGTAGCTCTGGAAGAAGCTGAGTGAGTATGCCATGTGTGGTCCTCCCCTGCACTATTAGTTTTCTCCTGTTATGTTGCTTTATTTGTTCCTGGGAATATATACATTGTGTTGTTTCCTGATTCCAGTCTGGTATGTTTCTAGGAACAGGACTGATCTCTGTCTTGGTAAACAGTTTATGATAAAGATGCCCTCTGAACGATTTGCATCACTTAACAAAAACTAGTATAATTCTCTTCATATAGATGCTGTTGAAGTTAGTAGGAAAGTAGATAGTCAAACTTCATCCTATCGGGTTGGAACTAAAATTGCCTTCTGTCTCTCCATGCCATTGGCACTCCAGGGTTAAGATACAGCCAAACTGCACCTTCATTAAGACAATAACAATTCTGCCCTTGCTGGCAAACAACCGAGAGAAACGGGGCATAGCGCTGGATGGGAAGCTAAAGGATGAAGACACTAACTTGGCATCCAGTACCATGTGAGTCCAATCAGAAATGGCATCAGCTGTAATCAAAGAGGAAGCATTGTCAAGAGAACATCTCTCATGTCAAACAAAAGAGTCATGTTTATGTTCAAGAGCCAGTTTGGTGTAGTGGTTAAGTGCGCGGACTCTAATCTGGGAGAACCGGTTTTGATTCCCCACTCCTCCACTTGCACCTGGCTGGATGGCCTTGGGCAAGCCGTAGCTCTGATAAGGAGCTGTTCTTGAAAAAGGGCATTTTCTGTCAAGAGTTCTCTCAGCCCCACCCACCTCACAGGGTGTCTGTTGTGGGGAGGGGAAGGGAAAGGAGTTTGTAAGCCGCTCTGAGACACCTTTGGGTAGTGAAGGGCGGGGTATAAATCCAATCTCTTCTCTTCTTCTTCTTCTTCTTCTTCTTCAATTGGGCTCACACTAAAGGCCAAATTACATAATGCACGTTTAATGAGTTGGGTCCAGGTTCCCAACTTGTGTTTTCCACAGCGACACAGCAGTGGGGGCCCGATTTGGCTCTGGACCATGGCATGGGGGAGGGATTTCTACCTTCCCCCTGTGCCATTTTCCTGAGCTGAAATGGCCCTGGGGGAGGAGTTATTTCCATAACTTGGGAACTGCATATGAAGTATTCTGTGCACGTGCAGTTCAAAAATGGGGCAAATAACTCCTCCCCGTGGCCTTTCAGGAAAATAGCACGAGGAGCCCCTTCCCTGATGCCACAGTCCTGAGCCAAATTGGATCACCACAGGTTTAAAATACAATTAACCTCTCCATGTGCTGTTTCCCTAACTGAAAATGGCCTTCTTGGGCTGTTTTAAGCTCTGGTAGGAAAAAAATCCCAAGTTTGTGCTTGTCTTTCCCCCTAAAAGCAATGTTTAATTGTAATAAATCATTATTCTACTTTTTTTTCTCCAATAGCATTAAAGATGGGATAGACAAGACAGTTTTGGGGATCTTGGTTGCTTACAAGATCAAGGTGAAACTCATTGTCTCAGGGTAAGCTTGACAGTATCTTAGTTAACCTATCACAAGTGGTCTTACTTTTAATATGTTGTCGAAGGCTTTCACGGCCGGAGTTCATTAGTTGCTGTAGATTTTCTGGGTTGTTTGGCCGTGGTCTTGGCATTGTAGAACCTGACATTTCGCCAGTAGCTGTCATGTGTTGAACTGAAATTCAGGAAACAGGAAACCTCCTCAGGGAACAATCCATATACAAAAGAACCTCTTCAGGAAAGCTCCTCCATTAGCATGTTCATAGCCTGGGGAACCCCTACAAGATAATGACTCAGCCCTACCCCACCTTCTGGGGTAGATATAAATTACCTGCCTACCATTTTTCTTCTCACCTTGACATAGAGAGTACTCCATCTTTTTGTGTTATACCTCTGAGGATGCCAGTCACAGCTACTGGCAAAATGTCAGGTTCTACAATGCCAAGACCACGGCCACACAACCCAGAAAATCTACAGCAACTAAAGGTCTTACTTTTGTTTGTCAGACCAGGATGAATGAGGGCAAAGAAGGATATGCAGCATTCTCATTAGGTCCTCAAACATGTTATGGCCAATCATAAATAATTATCCCATATTTAGCAGGTAAGAACATTCCACTTTGATATTTTTTGAGTGTTCTCAAAGTAAGTAGAATAGCTGCTTAATTGGATCATTAATTGTAATGGGATAGAGTGCAAATACTACAGCAAGGATTAAAAATTATCTTCCCTGAGCTGTATTTTCTAGGAAGAAGGTATGAAGTATGGCCAAGTGGCTTGAGTACATCTGTTGGGAAATATTGTAAGTATTGTATTTTGTGTTTGCTTATTTCCCAGCTTGCTAGGAGATTTTACTTCCAGGTAAATGTATGATCCTTCCTCTTTTTCACTACTGTGCTTCCCCAGTTCCCCAAGGGCAATCTCCTAATAATTATTGTCTGTTGAGGAAAATATAAGCCAACTATTCTGTCCATTAACCTAACTACAAAGAAAAAGAAAAAAGGATAACCAGTAGCTACAAGATATTTTTCAGAAATGTTTGAAAGCAGCCATCCATCTTCACCAGCTAAGTGAGGTCATTTCCATACGGAGTTTTTTTGTGCAGCTTGGCTTCTTAACTACATCATTCCCCCTCCCCCAATGTTACACACCGAGTCAGTGTTCTGCTGATTTCCTCCCAACTTTCCCTTATGTTTTTTCAGACCATCTTTGCACTGATGTTTCTGGAAGGAATGCACCTGAAAGTGTTTTTGTGGAGTCTGGACAGTTTGCTGTACTTTTAAAGGGCCTGCCTTCATCCTACTGCTTACACATTCCACTCCCCAGCCACCTCCTTTTCTTCTCTGAGTTGCTGCTGTTTTTCCTGGCAGTGGCTGCCATAAAAAAAAAAGTTGTGCATATAACAATATAAATGTGCCAGGGCACATCTCTTGTGACATACGTGAATGTGCATATTCCAAGAGATGCCCCCTGCGCCCCCTGACATTTCAAAGCATTGTTTCAAGGACTGGACCTTCTTGTATTGTCTCATTGAAGTTTTCTTGGCTCATTTCTGTGTGGGAAGGAGAGTTTGGACTTCTTGAAATTTCACATACTGGGTGACATACAATAACTTGTTTCTAGACTCAGTGTTTAGTGTAATGGCTATAGTAGGACACAGTAGGAGGCAGCGGAGGTTTTTTGGTACGCAAGTATGATGGACTTCTTTCTTTCATATCTGAACAGTGATGTAGGCATAGAACTGCCCTTCCGTCTTATGCACCCTAAGCCAGAGGAGGTAAATGCAACAGGTCAGTAGGATATTACTTGTTCTTTTTCAACTCATGTTTGTTTTCCTGTCTTTGCTTATAACATTTGGAATGGTATCCTCCTGGTTCTGTAGAACTCAAAGGAAGAGTCTTCCCTTGAAGAGGGAAGCGGCTGGTATAAAGAGAGGCTGTTTATACAGCCCTGAAACACAGAGCTTTGGGAAGTGTGTTTAGGTGGTACAGAAAGGAAAGTGGATACAGTTATACATTTCTTTTCATGCCCCCAAGTGAGAGCCCATGTGTTCCTAATAGGGTTGCTAACTCAGCATCGGCACCCAACAGGAAGTTGCAGGGAGATGTGATTTGGCACTGTGCCAACACGTGACATCACTTCTGCTGTGAAATTGGATGTGATGACATCATGTTGGCATTATGCTCTATCGCAGGGGTGTCGAACTCATTTGTTATGAGGGCCAGATTTGACATAAATGAGACATTGTTGGGCCAGGCCATGTGTGTCATAAAATGTAATGCCAGGTAGCGGAGATATAAACTTTATAAAGGACACAAACACAAAGGGTTTTTTTTTACTTAAAATAAAAACATGCTTAAAACATTAGCACTCTTGCAATATTTTGTTTATTTAACAGTGTCTGATAACTGACACCTCTTGCTCTGAATTATTGCATCAAAATGTCTGTGCTGTTGCAATCTTGTGTATGCTGTTCAGGTGTGTATCTGTAAGCTGCAAACCTACAAAGACACAGCAGCAGCAGAACTGGAAGAAGAAGCAGAAGACAGCCAATTCCACTGTGGGCCTGAAAGAAGTCCTCCAGGGGCCTGATCCGGCCCCCGGGCCGCATGTTTGACACCCCTGCTCTATGGTTTCATACCAGAAGTGATGTCATACATTGGTGTGGTGCCAAATGACCCCCCCCCATTCCTCTTCCCCACCACTCTGTGAAGCAGCAACTAGGGACCTGGGATTCAAGGTGAGAAACTTAGAAGCCCTAGTTCCTGAGAGTTCTAGTCCTCTCAGTCAGTAGGGGGAGCTGCAATAAGCACTTTATCTGACTTGTACAAGGAGCTGGAAATGTAGTTTGAGGGCATAGGTCAGAGAAATAAGGGAGCAGTCTGAATATCAACCAAGTTTTCAGTTACTTCATCAATACAGTCTAAGGCATGGATGTTTCCCAGACAGCTTTAATGTGTCAGTTTTATTTCACTTTGTTACCATTTTTGTTGTTCTCATCATGGGACTTCAAACCCAAACCACCAACCCAGGGCAAGAGTTAAAAAGAACAAACAACCAAAAATGGCTGAAGCGTGAGTCCTCACACCTCAGGGTAGAGCTGCCATCAGTCCCCTTCTACTATCCAGACAGCTAGAGACCAAGGAACAAAGTTGGAGGCTCTCCTGGAACTAAAATCAAGAAAGTCACCCTTGCAGGGTAGGATACCTTCAAGGCAAGTTTCACAAACAATTACTGGTAGCTGTAGCCAAAGAGGGCTAAAATACTGGATTCACATTGAACCCTCCTGAATTCAAGAACTCCACAAGAATAGAAGTATTTAAAATTGTGGAGGAGTAATCAAAGCAGAGCAGTGAACAGTGAGGATAAAGCAACAAAGCTAAAGGTCTTTCTAAGCATTTTACAGACAATGGTTCAAGGTTTCAGATATTACCCAAAAGCAGACTGAGGTCTTCAAGGTTCCAAGCTTCAAAGTCCAGGACAAGATTTCCAGTTACTAAGACTCATCACACAAGACAGCACTCAGGCTAATCCAAGCACCAAGTCAGTCACAGCAAATGCCTGAGGCAGTGGCCTGTGACCTGAAACAATGGTCAACGCAATAGCCTGTAGCAATGGCTTTACTGCAGCCCTCCTGGCTGGATTGATCCCAAGTGATTCTTAAGTTTGGCAGTTTGCAGAAGGTCCATGTGGCTCAGCTGCCATGTTAATGTTAGGCTTCCAGAGACTGCCAAAATGCCCCCCCCCCTTTATTCACTAAAGCATTAAAGGGAAAAATGTTTTTAAAGCTTTAGGCTTCCCATCCCAGTGTCTCTCTCTCTTTACATCTCATGTCAATTTAATTCCATGCTGACGATCCCCCTTTTGTTCTGTTTGCATGCAACACTTAAATCTTTCTTTTTTGCACTGAGGAGGCTGCCATTTGCCTCCTTTCCAATCCCCCTTTCAAGTCAATACCAGCAGGGAACTAAACCAAGCACAGCTCCTTTTAAACACCCCCCATTTAAATTTTTTTATTCAACGATCCAAGACTATTGATAGTCTCATATCGCTAGATTCATGCTGCTTGCAGGGGAAAAAATTAAAAATGAGGGGGAAATGGAACTTGTACACCAATGGGGGGGAGGATGGCAGAAAGTGCAGAATGGGCAGAACAAATGTGGGCAGGGAGTGACTTTCGAGTAGTGGCAAAAGGGTGGGGGGAAATCCTAGGGAATCTGTATGCTTTTGAATGAACCTTTTCCTTGGAAGTGAAACAAGGGGGAAATCGGCACAAAACCACTCTTTAAAAAAACCAGGGAAACAGTGACCAGAAAGCAAACTGAGCACTGAAGGGAAGAAAATCAATGCAGAACGACAAAGAGAACCTGATGGACATGCATGGTGAAAGTGAAGGAAAATGGCAAGGGCGAGCGTCTGATCGCGTTTCCTGTTCACACATTTTTTGTCTCCGCTCAGGAAGGGATGTGGCTCCAGAGCAAACTGATTGATGCAGCGGCCAAATGGCTCACTCACCACTTTGCCCTGTTAGCCGCCCTGAGCCTTCGGGGAGGGCGGGATAGAAATCTAAATAATAAATAAATTAATAAATAAATAATGCCAGGAGCTCACCGGATTTTTGCTCACAAGACTCTGCAGCTTAGAGGGCGCATTGGTGGCCACCCTAGGACGGCCACGGCTTAGCACGACGATGCTCCCTCCCTCCCTCCCGCGGTGCATGGCTTACTTCTAAGGTGACCTGGGGGGGGGGGCTTTCCGGCTGCTGCACCGCTTCTCCCGGCTGTTGCTTATCTGGAACCTTCCCTGTTCCCCCTCCCCGGACACGCATGCGTGCGCACAGAGCCCCCTCCTCTTTTCCGTACCTCCCCTACTCCTGGCTCGGCCTGCTCGAAAGGAACTCTCTGCACCGGGTGGCAGAGGGAGAGGTGCAGGGGGGGCGTGGCGGGAGGGTAGCCCGGCTGAAGCTCCTCCTGGAGGGGACCGGACGGAGGACACAGTTTGCATTCCTCTGCAGCCCTGGAAGGGGTTAAACCCGTGTGATCGGCACCTCCCTCCTAACCATGGGGCCTCAACGGGACCTCACCGGGACGTCTGATTGCGCAGTCGCACGTTATTTTGCTCCGGGACAAACAGCCATGCTCCCCCCCCCCGCATTTTCCGTCCCGTGTGACCGGAGCCACAGAACAACAAAGAAAACCCAATGGACATATACGGTGAAAGCAAGGGAAAACACCCATGCATAATAGGCTTATGTCTCTGAAGTTTCTAACAGCTTGTTTTGTTTCAGAGGAAAAAAACCCTTTCTTTTGAAAGGCCTTTTTACCAGGCCATTTTACTAGGCCAAAAGCCTAACCAGCATTGAACAAGAAACTGTGTAAGAAAACCAGCTGTTGTTATTGCTTTGATACAGTCTTTGTTAGCAATCCCTTGCTGTCTCAGTTTTTCAATGTTCCCCCACCCCCACATTGGACATTGGAAAACTCAGACAGCAAGGGATTGCTAAGGAAGCTGTGTGGAAATAACAACAACAAAAAGGTAACAAAGTGAAATGAAACTGGCACATTAAGGCTGTCTGGAAAACACCACTGAAACGAGCCCTCTATGCACTGAATAATCCGAGTAGCGTTGCCAGCCCCCATGCGGGAGCTGGGGATCCCTCGATTTGGCAGGCTCCTAGCCAGCTTGCCAGAGGGGGGAACCCCACTGCCAACAGTCACTACCCAACGCACACGTCCCCGGCATGAAGACACCACGTGGAAGTGATTACACCGAGGATGCCATGTGGTGACGCTCTGGTATTTTGGGCAAAACTCTATGGTAACCATAGAATTTTGCCCAAAATACCAGAGCATCACCACACAATGTTGTCGTGCCCCCACACTCCCGGAGAGCTCCCTTCAACCCCCCCAGTAGCGATTGAAGAGGACCTGGCAACCCTAAATCCAAGTGCTATTAAAATCACCATTTGTGAGCCATTAATGGAGCTGTCAGGATGGGCAGGATGGCTAGGAAAACAATATTACAGGAGCTCTGGTCACCCTGGGGGCCTATGTAGCTGAGCAATTTACTTGACTGACTTTTGTGTTGCTCTAGGTGAAGGGAGCGGAACCCATAGGAAATCTTTGTGTGAGGGCCAATGGTGGCTCTTGGCTGTCCTGGCCATCAACTTTTAAGAAAATAACAAAGTAGAATAAAAATGAACTGAAGGACAAAAAATGAGCAGGAGAAAGAAAATTAATGAGTAAGAGCTTTTACTCCTGCTTCTTACATCTCTTTATATATTTTTATTTATCAGTTTGTAATGTCCTTGAAGGTACATAGTAGTTCAGACTCAGAGTTCTTATCTCACTTATTTTACTGGAACACTGTGATGAATGAAGAATATGCAAGCTATCTATAGGTACAGCCTGCATCAAATGGTGTACTTTGGGGAGGCAGGTGGAGGTATCAAATGGTCTTTTTAATAGGTTATTGAGGCTCAGACAAAATGAGTCCAATCCAGATGAGTGCAGGCACAACAGTTATTAGTAGAGGAGTTCTGTTTTCCCCATCCTCCCTGCCAAAGCACACACATGGGCATCTGTACATTTTACTCTTATTAACAGTTATTTCATTAATCTGCCAATTCATTATTTTTAATATAATTGATTTTAGAACCTTTTACATATTTTACTTTTGCTGTCAATTTATTAATAACCTTTATGTTAATTTTTAACTTTAAAAAATCCTATTATTGCCCAAAATCACATTAGATCATTATCCAAATTAATTAATATTCAGCCATAATATTCTAATAAA